AATTATCATTCAGAAAGAACCTATCTTAGAAATAAAGATAATATTAACAGTGTAGCAAACTCCAGTTGGAGGAGTAACCGAAATACAGAAGTCATGATGACAAGGACCAGTGTCTGTCTAGTTCATCTCTCACCTTTGTACCCCAATGCCCAGCAGAGTTCAGCACTCATCAAAAAAATGTGTTGAAAAAAAGTGCATGAATGGTTGGCCATATTTTTTAGGGTAACTTGCGTAACAAGAAGACCCAAAACACAATGTCTTGAACACAGTAAATGTTCCTTCTCCCATAACAACCTAAAAAAAAGTTGAGGGCCGGGGCGCCTGGGTGGCTCAGTTGGTTAAGCGACTGCCTTCGGCTCAGGTCATGATCCTGGAGTCCCGGGATCGAGTCCCGCATCGGGCTCCCTGCTCGGCAGGGAGCCTACTTCTCCCTCTGAACCAACCCCCTCTCATGTGCTCTCTGTCTCTCTCATTCTCTCTGTTTCAAATAAATAAATAACATCTTTGGAAAAAAAAAAAAGTTGAGGGCCAGGGAGAGGAGTAGAGGACTTGCTCTGTGCAGTTTTTCAGAACCCAGGCCAAGTTCCTCTCTGTCATCTTCAAGTAGCTTCCAGTGAACTATGGTGGTTTTCATCTCCTTTCCAGCTCACAGAAGGAGAGCATGAGCATTGAGGAATGTACCTGCTGGGGTAGTTTATTGGCCAGGCCTAGAAGCCACACACATTGTATTGCACATCCTGTTGGAGAGGAGTCGGTCACATGGCCATATTTCATTGCCGGAGAGACTGGGGAATGCGTTGTTGCTGGGCATGTGGCTACGTCATTTCTGGTAGGAAGGTAGAGTGGATTTGGGTGGATAGTTAGCAAGTTCTATCAGCATCCTCGTATCCTAACAATAGTTCTTCTTAAATCTTCTTAAAGGAGATTGTGCTTATTATTAAGTTATACAGTTGCTTTAAGCAATAAAACATAAAATGTACTAAAGGGTACAAAAAGAAACTCAGATGCACATTAAACCTTTGCTGATGAGAATATATCAAATATTTTCCTTCTCTTAGAGCCTAAGTTTAGAATAATGAACCTGTTTTGGCTCCCAGTGTTCTCTGCAGCCTTCAGATTGAGCTGTTTGTATATGGAGGGAAAGCATTTTTTTTTCAGTGTCCTCTATAAAGGCCTTGTCAGCATTTTACAGCTTTAGAAGACAAATTTGTTTTTGCTCCAAGTGTTTTCAAGGGCTTCAGTGGTCAAACAGGTTTTGAGCCCAGCTTTCAATGCCACAACAGACAGTGGGCCAAGGGGAAGAATTGAAAATAAATCCCACAGTCTAAAGCTAATTTTTTCAAGGATTTTGCTCTTTTTAGATTTGAGGTTATTTTTATAATTGAGGAGGGTGGTTCTTAAAATTCAGTTCCTTCTGACACCCAAAAACTGTCCAGTTAAATTCTATCATAGCACATCTGTGTGTTTTGAAAGTCACTGGTAAGACTTAACTGAGGCAGAATTTTATGGATTATAAACTAAGCTTTATGTGTTTTTTTCATGCAATTCAAGAAGCAGTTTCATTAAATTATTCTTAAAGTCATAATCTGTTCTTTGCTCTTTCTTAAAATTACCCATTTAAAAGATCCTGAGTTTAGAAGACCAATTAAAGTAAAAATTAATGCAGTAACACATTTTTATAAGAGTTTTATTACTTTAACCTTTCATAAGTGCAAACATTAATAAACTCCTCTTTCACCACACCTAGAGAAGTGTTTGGGACATAAAACAGTTCAAAACCTTCAGAAGGCATCAAATCCGTATTTTCTCCTAAGGCAAGTACTATTATAGCTGCAGAACATTTGGAAATCCAGTTACATTCTTCCCATACAGTGGAAGCCTTCTGCATTTCAGCTGTTCTTTTGACCTGTACATCCCATTTTCCCCTTCTCCCATCTCACTGAAGTGAGGGGAATTCCTGATCTCTTTCTTTATCTTAACCTTAGGCGAAGAATGGAAGTCAGAATTTGTGTGTTTTGCATCTGTGGAAATAGGTACTTGTGTTACTGTGTTCAGAGACCTTTACTACCCTTGTTTGTTTCATTCTGAAGAAAGCTAAGATAGGTTGCCAGTTGGAACACATTCTTCACATGTTCCTGTGTCCAAAAGGTATAGGGGCAACCGCCTTAGCCAAGGAATGAACGCGGTGTGCTTGCCTGCTGCGTTAGTGAAAGCAGCTCATGAATATTCAACAGTCTCCAATGTGTGGACAACATGAAAGTTGGAATTATTATAAAGCCTTAAAGAGGAATATGGAACAAGAATGAAAGTCACCCTTTGTCGATTACATCCATAAAAAAACAGATCCTTGGGGAGTTCTTAAACATAGGGATCAAATATTTTTTAAAAAGCAAGTGGGGGAGGGAGTCCAAGTTACTGCTTACTAGTTTTAACCCTGGAGATCAGCCAGACTTTCTCACATTTTACAACTGCTTTTTGCGAAGTTTTCCATTGTATAACATAACTTTTTTCTGTAATTCTCAAAACCTATAAGCAATTATATCTTGGTTCTTTTTGTATAGGGAAAAAAAATCTTCTTACTGAAATATCTATATAATACTACTACAGTTTACTTTCTCTTCCCTCTTTCTGAATATTTCCTACCCTTAATGTGAAGATTTTTTTTATTCTGAAATAGTCATTTGCATATAATTAAAAATGTATTTCATTGACACTGTTTTAAAATTATCTGAGGGTAGAGGGTTGTGCTTTCCCTAGGAATTCAGGTTTCAGAGCTTTAGAAAAACCTAATGCTATTGCACTAGATCTTACACTAAAGATTTTGATAATCTGTTGAAGACCACCAGTGAGAACAAACACAGATTCTTTGTCATAGATATAACCCCCTTTATCAGGAAGATCACATTCAGGTAATAGCAATTATAAGAGGCCATTTTAGAGAGACCTCTTCTAACTCAAACTTTAGAGTTATAAAAATGTAAATATAATTGAATGTTGTCATAATTTTTATTTCTCAGATCCATTCTAAAATGAACTGTGTAAATCGTCTAAGCATGTAAATTGATGTTTAGTAATGGCAGACACAGACACTCTTTCCAGTGTCTAGAGCATCACCTTAACTGGAGAAATAGTAGTGAAATATCTGGGGGGAGGTGGATTTCATAGTTTTAGAAATAATAATAGCATCAACAACAATAGCTAATATCCTTTAAATGTACCAGGTATTATTCATGTTCTTTACGTGCATTATTTCCTTTAATCTCCAAGGCCGCCTATGTAATTCTGTTAATATTGCCATCTCCATTTTCCAGATGTGGACCTTGAGGGTCAAGTAGGGTCAGACAGTTGGTAAATAATAGAGCTAGGATTCAAACCCAAACATTCCGACTCCAGAGCCACCATTCTATTACGTTACGCTGTGTCTCCCTCTGTTTCTACTGTCTGATAGAGCCCAGGGTTTTAAACTTTCAGAATTCCAGACAAGTTGGCCAAACCAACATAAATGGAAAACAATTCATTCATCTACCAAGCCAAAGATTAGTTTTCTACTCTAATTATGTGTTTATTTTGTGAGGATTTTTATATATGTCGATTTCATGGGATTATTGAGAACCTTAATCAGATTTGCTTTGTAAAGGGTTTTTCACGATGGGAGGTTATAAATATGTAGATGAACACATGTTGCTTCAATATGTGTTATTCTTATGACCTAGAATAGGTGGATTGTGCTTATTAATGTCCTTTTAAAGCAGATATGAATCTTTGAGTTCAATGAAATTCGGGTTCAGATCTCTAAGGCAGCTCTTTTTTTTTTTTTGGTTTACTGAATATAAATGAGCTCTTTTTGCTTTTTTGTAATCTTCCTTCATGGTGATGGCTTACTTATGATGTGCTCAGTCACCTGAATTGTATTCAGAAAGTATTGGCCATGTCCCAAAAACCTTACAGGTATGCCTCCTGATAAGTATTAAGCCCTCTTGGTCAGCCTGAAATACATGCTATTCAAAGTAAGTTTCCTATTTATATTTTTTCCATCTTAGCTATTATAAGGATTAGTATTAAATATCACAGAAAGAAAGGTTCTTAAGTTAACACCATTTCTATTCATGGATAGTTTACAGTTTGGGTACAAGCTATATGTTATCCCACATTATATTGGTAATTTATCCTGAAAATATGTTAAATGAGCAATGAATGTTACATTGGTTTCTGATAAGATTCAAGGTCAGATTCCTCAGTCCTAGTTCTAATTCTACCCTAATGTTCTGACAGTCTGGGTTTTGTTATGTTTAACTGTAAGGTATGGCTGATACCTAACAAGGACATTATAGGATACAATGATCATTTTGTGATGGTGTCCAATATCTTCATTAAAGGGATGATAAAATTCAACATCCAATTTTATCCAAGCAGCATATACTAAACTTTTATAGTTTTACTAGTTTGTTGTTTTTTTTTTTTTAAAGATTTTATTTATTTACTTGAGACAGAGAGAATGAGAGACAGAGAGCATGAGAGGGAGGAGGGTCAGAGGGAAAAGCAGACTCCCTGCTGAGCAGGGAGCCCAATGCGGGACTCGATCCCGGGACTCCAGGATCATGACCTGAGCCGAAGGCAGTCGCTTAACCAACTGAGCCACCCAGGCGCCCTAGTTTTACTAGTTTTAACAAAGATAGAAATATGAGGACTAGAATTCATTTATACCAGCATATTGTCTGATCTTTCTGTTTTAAATAAAGGAGGATCTGCTGTTGCATATTTCTTACCATTCCTACTGGGCAATCACAGTTTGTTTTGTTGTTGTTGTTGTTTGTTTTTATTTTTTTAATTTTATTATGTTATGTTAGTCACCATACATTACATTTTTAGTTTTTGATGTAGTGTTCCATGATTCATTGTTTGCGTATAACACCCAGTGCTTCATTCAATACATGCCCTCCTTAATACCCATCACCGGGCTAACCCATCGCCCCAGCCCCCTACAATTTGTTTTGTTACAGAATATGGAAAGCCTCAATTCCACATCATCTCATGAGAGGGCTGGACCTGATGATGTTGAACTGATGTCCGATGAAAGGTAATTTTAGCATTTTTCTTTTCACTTAATACAATGTGCATTACAAGAACTAGAAAGAATAGAATTAGAGGTCTGTATGTTTACCAGTAGTATTTTATAGCAAGGAAAATGCTTAGAATAGAAAATCTGCTGTGGTGCTATTAAAGACAAATAACCCCATTCATGGTTGTGTTTCTGGTTTTGTTTTATTTTGATTTTTTGTTTTGTCTTGTTTCTGAATTTTACAAGAATTTAATGTAGAGCCACTCAGCCTACTTTTAAAATAAATGAAATCATAATTTCACTGGATGAAAAGCATTGTTCTAAAACTGACATTTTATGATATTTTGTTGTTGCTGTTGTTTATAGCAAAGAAGATGAAAAAGGCAGCAGACATACCCAGCATTTTGAGGTGAGTAGCTAACAAAATTTTGATTGTAACTGGGCTATCCATACGTTCCTGAGAGCACACGTGAAGCACTATTAGTCTGTCAATAAGGGATAATGAGATTGACAGGACTGGGTTTGATCAGAAAGGCAAATACTGAAACATAAAGATTCCTTGAGAAATCATATTCTTTTTGCTTTTAAATGCTTTTACTTTGCTTGCAAAGAGAAACTTCAGCAACATGGAGAGTTCCCTTTAGATTTTCCATAAAACAAAACAAAAAGCCAAAGCTACTGGTTTGATTTTCCATGTTTTTATGCATTTTTAAGTGATTGCAATAAATAGGCAATGCATTGAGTGGATCTGTCACCAAGATTTATCTCATTAATTTTCAAATTAAGATAAACTCAGTGTGAGTTACTAAACCCAGTTTGTTTTCTGAGTTTTGTCTCATTTTAAGTAAACCATGGAGAAAAAAGATCTAACTCCCTTATGCTGTCTAGATCTTCAGGTTCCAGTTATTTCCCACCTTCCTTGTTCTCTGAGGGCATCGCCATGCTGACCCCACGTGATTTCCCTTGCTCCCAACTCTGGCCTCCATTCAGTGTGCTCAGCCCCATTTTTCATTCGTGTATGTGTGTGTAATCTACATCCAAATGCCTCCAACTCCTCTTTCAGTATTTTTATCAGTTTTTCCCTTGGACAAGATTTAAAGCTTTTTTCAACCTGTTCTTGAATTCTGACCCTTGAAATATGAATTATATCTAGACCTCTCCCTCTAACTCAGTGATTCCTAATCTTTATTGGACATTGTCCTAATTCACTGATGGAGTTAGGAGCATCTGTTGAGTCCTGCTGTGTATGTGTACTGGGCTAGGAGCTACAAGGCAGTGAACAGCTGCAGTCCCCTACCCGCCTTGGAATTCTACAGTCTCGGAGGTTAAGACTCTAAAAGCTGTGGACCCCCTTCTTAGACAAGCGCACCCTCGTGTACAATTTGGCATAAAATTGCTGGGAATGAATCGCCACCTCCCTGCCGCTCCCCGCTGGTGCTGTGGACTCGTCCTTTTCCCTCTCTTCAGTTCTTGTCATGTCTACTTCATCAGCCTAGCCAGGTAATAGGAGGGGAATGCTTCCTCTTTCTGACTTCACAGCTGCTGAGCCTCCTCTTTCATCTCTTATTTCCCACTCCTTTAAGCTTCCTTCCTTGGGACCCAGGCATCCAGCTGACATTTTTTTCCCTGACACCAGGTACCTTTTTTCAGAGCACGTTTCCCCCATGATAGTGTTGCTTTGTTTTCCTTCTTGTTTCACCCTTTCCCTGCTCTTTTCCTCTGCTCACAGCAAGCACTTACTCATCATGCCATTGAACGTGACTTTGAAGAAGATTGCTTTGCCCGCCTCCTAGAGAGGTCTTCTCAGTTCCTCCCTTTTATGCCTGTTCTCCTTTATGAGATAAAAGGGTATAGAGCAGCCTTTGTGGATGGACTTCATAACATTAACTCATAAATCCAAGCGGCACCCAAACTAAATCCGTGCTGAACTCAGTTTGCCTTGGTATGTTTGTGGACAGCTCCCATGGTGGTGGATGAATCATGGGGAAAAAATCTCAAATCCTGCTTCCATGTGCCAGGTCCTATTCTTACATGTGTCAGCCATGTGCAGTTGCCAATCAGCACCCAGCCCACTGCTGGCACTCCTTAAGCATTCACTATTAATAATCATGGTCGTCATCATACATTCAGCTGGGAGATAAAATTAAGCAGTGAGTTAAAATCCAGCCTAAGCTCTCCGTGTCAGGTTTCTTTTACAACTGCCCCAAAGGAGAAAAACAAGACATCACTCCACAAGATTGGGATGATGCTTCTACTCGGGAAGGCATGTGCTTTTTTCACTAAAGGATATATATATTTAATTATTAGGGACAGACCGTGAAAAGATGTTTTCCATTTTTAAAGCCCTTTCCCTTGTTTACAGTGCAATGTCATTGTTTACTACTTAATATGTGTAGCACTTTCTAGAACTTATTAAACAACCTAAACAGTTAATCTGGTGTTCTGGTACTATCACAACAATTCCTAAATTTCAGAGATGAAAAATAAGTCTAGACTTTGGTTACCCCTCCTAGAATTCTGCCTAAGCGGTGTTTTATTTCACGTCTCCTGTAGCCTGAGATTAAGAAGCCAGTGTTTACATGCTCACCGTGGATGGCTCTTTCCAGTTTCATTTTCCATGAAGACAATTGGTCCTCATTAATACCATCCTTTAAAATTTTCCTTGTAAGTTCTTAGATTCATGTAAGATTAAGGCCACAAATGCCAGCTATTGAGGAAAGGTGGTCAGTCTTTGTTGTTTTGACTAGCATCTCCGTTAGAATGTGGAACATTAAACCCAGTCTCAGAGATGCTCCTCAGAGGGACACAGAGGCAGAGAGAAGCTGGTCTTAGAATCTGCGGTTCAAACGCAAATGCAGGCACAACTGTGACTTTATTTTTGAAATAAGCATTTTGCAGCCCTAGATGTGTTTTTGTTTGAATGCACGTGTTGAAAAGTGAACATGGATTTACCCCTTCGTTGCACATCTTTTTAGTTTTTTTAATCAACTAATCTTACCCAAAAAGAGAATCTGCTCAAGATCTCAGATGGCCAGTGAAATTATGATTTTTATGGGTAGGTTTTCGAAAGGTGGGCATTTTAATAAAATATACCTTTTTGGGATGTATGAAATGAACTAATGTAAGGAAGAGCCTAGCGTCCTATTCCCTGAATATGTTGGAGTCCAGAGCCTTTGTTCATTTGTTTCTTTTTAAGCTCAGTGAACATCTGGAAGTACCCAGAAGAAAGGTCATCCTTAAAACTAGCAATTTCTAGATTCCAAAAGATATCACTGAAAATACAGATTTTCAAAGTTCTGTTTACAATAGAGCTTAAATCTTATGCTTCAATTTGATTCCTTCTGATGAGTTATTTTCTGATTGGAAATATTTCATGCTTCTGTATGAAGTCCAGAATATTAAAACTGTAACCTTATATTTAATCTCTTTATCAAGAAAGCAAAACCTGTAAGAATTATTGAGTGCTTAGAAGGATATTACCTTATTTGGGCGAGGTCATTTTATGTCAGAAGTATAAGGTTAATGAGGTGTTAAATTCTTTTGCAATATTTTTACATTATGCTTTCTAAGCCTACTACTTAGAAGAGCTTAAAAAAAAAAAAGAAGAGCTTAGAAGCATACCTTTGATAACAAGTAAGACATTCATAATAAACAAAAGACCATTTCCCTTTTTTATCCTCCTTCAAAACAAAAGTAAAAGAAGGGAGAGAGAAAAAGAGAGAAGACAAGACTTTCCAATCAAGACTGAGCATTAATATTAATTATCAAACATCTTAAGTGTAGGCTTTTATGTGCCCTGAGCAGGTTTGAGATAAATTCTGAAATATCCTGTCAACAAGTACTTATGAAATAAATCACTGTGTTATTTCAACTTCACTGTATTCCATGGAAGCGTTTAGGATTTTGTTACTGGTTTTAATGTTAGAACCAGAATAATTTAAAAGCTCTATTTGTTTAGATTCACTTCCCATTTCATCCAGTCTCTAAAGGCTACAGAAGCTTTGCAATTCACATGAATTTTGGAACTCTGTTATGTCCACTTTCCTTTATTGTCAGGCCAAACAGTAAATGTTTATGGTTCCATGTGGTTCTTTTATTAACACTGTGTGGTTCCTTCCTGTGCAAACTGCATTACACAGTACACTCTCTGATCTCATCGCTCCTGGCTCTGGTAAGCTCTTAGGCTATTCATTTATATCCTGTGCAGGGAGGGAGAAGGGACGGAACAAAAATTCATCACCTATTTGAAGTCAGGGGAGGAGCAAGATCAGTGAAGTCTGAGGATTGGAAAAGCCAGGTCCAGTTAGACAGGGGCAAGTCTTAACAAAGATCAGGTGAGTAGACTAATAGTTAGCGGTTCCTTTTTTTTTTTTTTTTTTAAGATTTTTATTTATTTGACAGAGAGAGACAGCGAGAGATGGAACACAGGCAGGGGGAGTGGGAGAGGGAGAAACAGGCTTCCCGCCGAGCAGGGAGCCCGACGCGGGGCTCGATCCCAGGACCCTGGGATCATGACCTGAGCCGAAGGCAGATGCTTAACGACTGAGCCACCCAGGTGCCCCTACTTAGCGGTTCCTTGACCTGAACATGGGCTATCACCTGAAGCCCCAGGCAAGGTGAGCTCTCTGAGTACTGGCTCCCTAGCGGCCTGTTTTTTTCTGTTATAACATGTGTGACATGGGCACTTATACGTTCAGTGTCTTCCTTCCACACTAAATTCCATACCTCGTTAATTCCTGTAATCCCACTGCCGAGGACATAGTATGTGTTCAGTAAACACTTGCAGATGAATGAATGTGAAAGGGAGGTAGTAAATAATTGGAAATAGCGTTGTTTTCTCAGTTACTATGGGCTAGCCATTTTTATACATGTTTTCCATTTAATCTTCATAACAACTCTATGAAGTCTTACACTTGTGTGACAGAAAAAAACAAAGCTTTAAAAAAAGGAAGCCAAAGTGCAGAGAGGTTTTCATTCAAGATCTTGCAGCTGGTCATCTGGTACTGAAACTCAGATCTCTGCCCATCCCCTATCTGCCATACCATATTTGTCTCTCCTAAGAGCCATGAAGATGTAGTGTGTTTTTGTATGGTACATCATTTTTGACAGGGGTTTAGTGTGTGACCTTGCAGCACAAGGATCCCTGAATTGAAAATTGTGAAATGGCAGTAGTCCTCCATTATCTGTGGTTTCACTTTCTGTGGTCTCAGTTACCCCTGGTCAGCCCTGGTCCAGAAGCAGGTGATTGTCCTTCTGACATACCATCCGAAGGTCACTAGTAGCCCAATGCTGCGTCACGGCGCCTACGTCATTCTCCTCCCTTCATCTCGTCACGTAGGCGTTTTACCATCTCACACCATCACAAGAAGAAAGGCGAGCAGAGTAAAGATGTTTTGAGAGAGAGACCACATTCACATAACTTCTATTACAGTATATTATAATTGTTCTGTTTATTAGTAGTTATTGTTCATCTTACTGTGCCTAATGTGTCAATTAAACTTTATCACAGGTGTGTGTATATAGGAAAAAGCAGAGTGTCTGTAGGGTTCAGCACTATCCTCGGTTTTAGGCATCTACCGGGTGTCTTGGAATGTATCCCCCCAGATAAGGGGGACCGCTGTAATTCATTTACTCTATGATTTAACTGAAGACGTAAGATGTGTAAACAACAAAAGTTGAAACCGGAAATATTTTGGTATTTGAGAATGTCCTTGACATTTGAACATGAACGACCTAAGAGAAGCAGCGGACAAGCAAGTAGACCAGGGCAATGCTATAGGACAAGCACGAGGAGAGCGTGGGGAACAATCGGGAGAGGGACCCCACCCAGTCCAGGCTGACGAGTCTTTTTTTTAAAAAATTTTTTTTTCTTAAGGTTTTATTTATTTGCGAGCAGGCTGCCGAGTCTCTGAGGGAAGAGTAGATTTGATGCTGGTGATGCTGCTGCAGAGCCTGAACAGCTTCAGCGTGGGTGGCCACGGAGCGGCAGCCCTAGCGCCCATATGCACATAAGCCCCGGGCCCACACCAGCAGCCCACGCTGCATCCCCCAGCGCGGCAACCGCGGCGGGTTCTGGTGAGACCCAGGAGGCCGGAAATTGGGAACCAGGCCTCCAGGGGCATCAGGCAGGTAAAAGAGCAGTAACCGCAGGGACTGATCACAGCACAGCAGGACAGAGCCGAGCGTGTGGATGTGCTGGCGAGTGCTGGGCCAACGTGTCCGTGCTATGCAAGCTGGTGTGGTTGATGCAGCAGAGACCCTTCCCCTGGTGTGTAGGAAATCAGCCAGAAAGTCCAGAAGCTTATGCGGGTGAACAGTGTGAGTGATACCCTGTTATATGTGGCACATCCTAAACACCCTTACATGGTGACTGCACATACAGTGATCTCTACACAGTGACCATGCCTCAGGGCCTTTGCATTTGCTTTCCTTCTTCCTGGAATGCTCTTCCCATTGATGGCTCACTCCCACACTTCCTTCATATCTCTGCTTACATGTCACCTCATAAGAAAGGGCTTTCCTGACCACCAGATAGAGAATAGCAGACCATGGCCCCCACCTCCATCATCTCTCTTACTCTGCTTTATTTTTCTCCATAGTTCATGTCACTATCTGACATTTTTTCTTTGTTTACTGTCACTTCCTGTAAGATTCATTAGGACAGACTTTATTTTGTCTTCTGAAGTATCTCCAGTGTTAGAAAACTGTCTAGCATGTAGTAGGTATGCAAAAATTATTAGTTGAATAAATGAGTAAATATTATCTTCGTATCTCTAGCACACAGTGGCCCTGTTATATCATGTGATATATATATATACACATATGAATAAACTAATAAACTTTTGACCTGATTCTCTTCGTTAGAATAATAGAATCTTAGGGGTTGTCTATTCCAGCCTCCTACCCAGGGCAGTAATCTCTCCCTCTCCCACATGCCCGACTCCCAGACTTCATCTGAACACTGTGAAGGGCAGCTAACTAATCCACAAGATGGTCTGTTGTTGTATTGCGCCCAAGTCAACTGTCCTCAGAACCCCACTGAGCATTCCTGAACCTCTTCCACAAAATATCAGCTCTCTCAGTGTAGGGAGCTTGCATGGCTCACAATGCCCAGCACAGAGGGGGTGCACCAAACCATGTCATAGAAGGAATGAAGAAATCTGTGCATTTTGGAGGGGAAAAATTAATTTTCTAATTTTAGTTTTCTTTAAAATGGATACTAATTCAGATGCAGAAAAAAAATTATAATCTCAATTTCCTTTGAAATGGGTGCTAATACAGATGGAACAATCATAAAAAGTACACATTTTTACATTAGTGTGTGTGTGTTTCAGCTTTTCACATGTGTCGTGTCAAGCACCACAGGACTCCGAGTGCCCTGAGGGGACACAGGCATGGCAGGAAGCAAAGCCAGTATCTGGCGTTGGGAAGGGACACAGGCTGCCTACAGAACCCAGTGCTTGGGCCTGTAGGTCTTCCCACCAGCATTCACTCCCATCTGCAAGGCCTCAGCCTGGAAAACACATTTCACCATTGTTACTCTGCTTCTAAAATCCTTCCGTGGCTTTCCATTATCAACTACAGGCTAAAATCCAAATTTAGCCGAGCATACAAGCCTTTCTCAGTCCAGCATCCACTCATCCGATGCCCTTATCACCTGCCATCCCTCCATCTTGTCCTCCCCTGCTATGACCAGCAAACCCCAGGGTGCCTGCCTCTGCATCTGCTCCTCCTCCTAACCCCTCTCACCCACACTGTCCCCAAAACAAAATCGCTGTTGCTGACTCATGTTGGGACCCCGAGTGGGTCTGTTTGTTCATCATGCATCTGGAACTCCCCTCTTCAAGGTAGCACGGTTCACCTTGAGTTGCTGTTGAACATGGCTCGTCTCCAACACCTCTCCCTGGTATTTTGAGATGTGGCAGTGTTTTCTTCATCTTCTTATGGTGCCTAGATGATGAAAAGACTGAGGGCCTCACCTGTGTGTATCTTATGCTCCAGGCACTGTGCTAATGGCCTTGCATACCTTTTGCCAGATCTTCAAAGAAACCTTGCTAGATTGGAATTGCTCATGCCGTTTCACAGATTAAGAAATGGAGGCTCAGAGAAGTAAAGCAGCTCAGCCCGAGCAGCAAGCGCAGTGAATATCAGCCACGCAGGTCTGCTTGTTAGAAAGATCCCTGTCCGTCCCACTGTAGTGCAGTGTCAGGGGCCAAAAAGTACTCCTCAGGGACAACATGCTGGGCTTACAGTATGGAATCATATTTCTTATAGCCTTCCTTTTTGTATGTCTCTAAGTGGAACAAGTGTTAGAAATCTTTTGAGAAAATGTGTATTTGCGGTATGCGGGTTCTAAGACACAGACGCGTGCGCGCCCACACACACACACACACACACACACACGGTTGGTGACTGACCCTGTAGCTCTTAATAAGCTGAGTGCCAGATTTGGTCATTCAGCCCTGGTCTACTTAAGATTCAGCTCAAGGAACAAATAACTTTTATGGCATAAATGCATACTCGATTTTTTCCCCCAACAGACAAGCAGCATTTTGAAAGTATCTTAAAGCCCCAGTTTTACCTGGCGTTTTCATCTGACTTTGGTAGCTCATCATGAACTGTATTCCCCATGTGGTGAAGAAAATAGCGGTCCTTGCGCATCATTTTGTGGAAATATAATAGTAAAAGCCCCGTCTATTCCCTGGTGATATCAAAGTGGGTTGAATAGCTATTAAAAGTAGCTGAAGTCTTAATAGTGCTTATTTTAAGCAGAAGAGCATTTCTTATGCATTAATGGAATCATTTATGACTTCCAGATGTTTGGGTTTTTTTCTTTTATCATATTTGCTAAAATAAATTTCCAGTTATTCTCCAAGAAAATCTTTTATACAGATCTGTGCTACTTGAGAAGAATATTTGTGAGTAAATACTTGTGTTTATAATCTTAGGAGAGAAGGGAAAGTGACAGTGGTTGGGTTTACAAGATGCTAAAAGAGCAAGGAAAAAAAGAATGAATTTCAATGCAAATTTTGTTCACATAAAATCACTTAGTTAAAATAGCAGCCTTTGGGAGAGGGTTTTCCCATCCCCCAGATATCTCAGCCTGGATGTAGGTGCCCCCAACGAGCAAAACCAAGTGTAGCTGAGTATTTAATATTCAGACTAGATGACTTGTAGGAAAACAAGTGACAGTTGGATATTTGTAAGATATAAATTATGCATTGCTGACTTGCCAGTTCTTGGTTTTTTTACTTTAAAAAAAAAAAAAAAAAGTCCTGCTGCCTGTGTAATTTTGGCTCATTTCCAGAGTCCGTATTCCTTACTGCTAGCCCAGATGAGCCGCCAAACCCCTGTGCTGTTTGAATTTGCGCAACAATGCTTTAATGCCCAGCGCTCCTCCATAAATAGTCTGTCCTCCCCACACTTGGGGCGAAAACAACCACAGGAAATCTGGGACTGTGCAGCTAGCCCCGCTTAATTGATCTAAGCCTGCTGGGGCCAGCAGGAGAGTATTCGTGCACACAGCCTCTGTTCCCGGCCTTGCAGGACTGTTCCCCTAAGGGGCAAAGAAGTCTGCACGCAGGAGACACCGTGTTGCTTCCCCAGCCTTAGCAACAGCAGTAGCAGGATTTTTGTTGTTGTTTACGGTCTGCAGAGCCCTACTCCTTTAAGGAAACACAAACTCCTTCCCCTCCTTCCCGGCCCCAGTCAGTAACCATCAAGACTGTCAGCTACCTGCAGTTACCCAGAGCAGCAGCTCGTGGAAATCCTCTTGTCTTTCTCACAGAAGAAAAGTTAAAGAGCACAGATGGACGGTTGCTTTTTGCATGCAAGTGGCCAGCTAGGATCCAGGGGGCATCAAGCTATGATTTTGATTTCTGGGCTGGGTGCATCCACCGCCACAGCTTGGGAGGTTTCATCCAGAAGGAGAGGAATTGCTGCAGACGTTTGTGGGTTTTGGTGAGCAGCAGATATTTGGAGACGTTGTGCTGTTATTACAGAGCCCCACAATGAAGATTCAGGAGCATCCCAGCGCACCTGACACCAAACTGCAGAGGACTCAAGATGCCGATGACCAGCAGGAGAGCTTTGTCTCCGAAGTGCCTGAGCTCGACCTGACTGCATTGTGTGATGAGAAGAGCTGGGAAGGTAAGATCCTCTGCTATTTGGATGATTTAATATCAGAAAAGCATATATAAAGTAGCCTAAATGAGAGGCACATCACCACATGGATGTATGAAAGCGATGGGTGTAGGAGTAACTGCATTTCTAAATGACTGCAAATCCTTTCCCTGGCATAGGAATGTGTCACATTAAATGTTGCCAGGAGTAATTGCAATCTAAGAAAGAAAATGTGCTTGCCCTCTCTCGTAGCGTCACCTTGCAGCCGTCTTTATTTCTTAAAATCACCAGGAGTGCTGATACGAGTGCGTGTGTGTTTCCCCTCTAGTAGTACCGAGCAGAGTACTGAGCAAGCCGTACACGCTTAGGACCTCATCTGGGTGTAGCTGCTCTTCCCGCTGCTACGTGCCAACCAGCTACCTCCTTCATGAAATCTCCTTCCCATTTTTTCAAGAAAGATGTTTCGGTTTGCTTTGCTTCTTTGTTTTTAATGGACAGAATTTTTTAAAAGCCAGGTTAGCCAGCATAAGGGATTTGCTCCTCAGCGAGAACACTGAATAAAAAGTGCTTCCGAGGGAAAGCCTGCAATAATACAGTGTTTAAGGTTGTTTTTTCTAGAGATTTTTGGCAAAACATTAGGCATGTACTTGTGAGGAAGAAGAGGGTGTGCTCATCTTGTCAAAACGGCATTTCAGGAAGGTGCTTGCTACGGTGTCATCAGGCTGCTCTTCCTCCCTGATCCCTGTGTCTGCATCCAGACCTATCTCAGTGTGTATCCGAAATGCATGCCCAGCTGCCTGTGTGTGCTGGGTGTGATTGGAGGCTACAAAGAGGGAGAAATCGTGTGCTGGGTTTCAGAACAACAGCACGACTTAACACAGTGACAGAGAGAATCGCAGCTACAAGACCGCCGTCCTTTTCCGAAGCACCTGGATTTCCTGGTCTTCTCCCCCACCCCTTTTAAACCAAACAGTACTCGTTGTGATAATGAGTTTAGATGAAGGAGCAAAAGACCGTCTCAAGAGACCACAAGGTGAAAAATAGCAATCCCTTTATGCTCCTTGCGTCCAGGGCTTGGTGACGCGAAAACAAACTGTTTTTTTATTCTAGTTCTCCCTCTTTGCAATCCAAGAAACATGTTCTAGCCCTTTCCCGTGTAATTAGGCAGTTGGGTCGGAGATTTTCTCAGACCTTCCCAGCTCATGATACGGTCACTAGAAAAAATTGCAGGGTGTTTTGCTTTGTTTTGTTTTTAATTTCAGTGATACATTCCTGGGTAGTGTTTTATTGTTCTTCTTTTGTTTTGTGGACTTTGGAATATTCAGGTATGTTTTAAATTCACTAAAAACAACACCCCTCCCCCCGCAAAAAAATAAGTCCCATAGTAGCCACTGGTATCCAAATAAAAGAAAAAAGCAGTAGCTAAAACAAGTGCTGTATTTGGGTTTTAGTAATACAGTCTCCACACAGAACTCTAGACAAAAACTAGGATTTTTGGACAGAATTCAAATTAGCCACGTTATCTTGGTATATTCAGTAAAGGGGGCAGGGAGATTCATCTAATCCCCCCCTGAAATGGACTCCGTTTGGTAATTTTTATCTTGGTCAGTCATAAATTTGTGATTTCTTCCAGCATATGTTAAGAGGGCAGTATGAAATTTCCCTCCAGTGTGGTTGGAAGCTAACTTTCCTTAAAACTGTTTTATTACTTAATGTAAAGAACTCTCTTCTAAATATAATAATAATAATAATATGAAGGAACCAACATTTTATGTTATACTGGGAAACAAGATGGAATTTTAAAAAGCTTATGGGGGGGGAATGCAATAGGCTTGGAAATGCTTATTACGTTATCTATGTAATTTATGAAAGGACTTGTGTTAACTTTTGCCAATTACTGCATTACTTCCTGAACTTGCACATATTAAAAATCTACATGGATTCATTTCAAGGCCATTTTGATCATTTGGTTACTGCTTTCAGTGGCCACTTTTTTTTTTTTTTAAGATTTTTTATTTATTTATTTGAGAGAGAGAATGAGATAGAGAGAGAGAGCATGAGAGAGGGGAGGGTCAGAGGGAGAAGCAGACTCCCTGCTGAGCAGGGAGCCCGATGTGGGACTCAATCCCGGGACTCCAGGATCATGACCTGAGCCAGAGGCAGTCGCCTAACCAACTGAGCCACCCAGGCGCCCTCAGTGGCCATTTTTTATCATATATTTATTTTAAATTTTCACCTTACATTATAACAGTAAGTATAATCAAAATAAAGGAACTGTTGCATAAAGGATAGATGAGATGAGAGCCATAAGTCCAGTCACTAAAATATTACCTCTTTTTTATAGCTTCACTAAGAAACACAGAAAATGGTAGCTTTGCAGTAAAGAATCCACTTTGCACTAATTTAAACTGTGAAAGTGAAACCAGGGCAACAAAATATATAAATGGAAGTAATAGTTAATCAAACCTTCTGAGCCAGAATCCGCCTGTAAGTCTCCATTACCAGTCTCAGAGCCACCATGTAGTGTAACCCCCTCTTTTTGGTTTACTGGTCTGTTCCCTGTCCCCACACCTTAGGTCACACTCTCTTTCTCATTACAGAAGCGTAGAATGTCAGGTGAGATGGTACTCAATGAGCAGCCTGCTGGCGCTAGCCTCAGCCGTGGAAGCTTCCATATGGCACTGGCGTTCTCAGGCTTCTGGGGCATGTTGTATCAGGGCAACAAAAAAGGAAATGAACCTAATAATTAGATAGAGTGGAACCCTCTCAAAGTGAATACAGGATCAGAGTCTAATCATGCTTGTTGGCAGATACATAATACATGCTTTTTCCTTTTTTTCTCTCACTCTGTATGTAGCTATGTATTAGGGCACATTTTTTTTACCTATCCACATCATATTTTCATTTTATTACTTCCACTCTCCAAAATTAAATGAGTACACAAATCAAATGTACTATTATTTGTTATGTAAAGCCTTTCAGAATTTCATAATCAGAATGTTCCTAATCAGCCAATTCATGTTGATTTAGGGCTACCATCTGTGGAAGTTTAAAGGTTTGAGGTTTAAATACTCAGCTGTTCTATTAACATTGTCCTGGTGAAGTTAAGCTTAAAAGAACATTTTTAAAGGACATAAAATACTTTGTATTTCTTATTTATTACTTACTACTTGTCCAAAATAACTTTGGAAATTCTCTAAAAGAATGATGAAGAAGCAAGGGATCGTAAAGACCTTTTGACTGGACACTGCCATTATATAGATAAGAAAGCTGAGGCCAAAAGAAGCAAAATGATGATTCAAGATAACAAAATCTCCTGACTTCCTCTCTGATGCCTCTTTCTCAGCAATGCCAGTTATGTATCCTGGCAGGCAGTGGGCCATAATGGCTAAGACCAGGCAGCTTTAGCAGCTTTGTGGACAAGTTAGTAAATGTGTTACAGTTTCGGCCTCAGTTTCTCCATCTTTAAACAGGCATAACAGGGGCACCTGGGTGGCTCAGTCAGTTAAGTCTTCAGCTCAGGTCATGATCTCAGGGTCCTGGGATGAGTCCCACATCAGGATCCCTGCTCAGCACGGAGTCTGCTTCTCCCTCTCCCTCTGCCTCCTCCCCCCTGTTCATGCTCTGTCTCTCTCTCTCAAATAAATAAATGTGTTTCTTTTTTTAAGATTTTTATTTATTTGTCAGAGAGAGAGAGCACAAGCAGGGGGAGCAGCAGAGGGAGAGGGAGAAGCAGACTCCTCACTGAGCAGGGAGCCCGATGTGGGGCTCAATCCCAGGACCCCGGGATCATGACCCGAGCCAAAGGCAGACGCTTAACGACTGAGCCACCCAGGCGTCCCAATAAATGTTTTTTTTTTTAAAGATAAAAATAAATAGGCATAACAAAAGATAATAATGAGTGAACAGATATTGTAATATTCACTTAGTAAGTTTGTTGCAAGGATTAAGTGAGCTAGTATTTGCAAAGTGCTTGGCACAGTACAGGCACCTAACAGGCACTACCTGAGTGTTAGTTGATGTTATTACTATCTTCCATAAATGCTTCCAAGTATAATTTCAGGAAGAACCAGCCTAAGTTGGACTTCTTTGAAACCAGAGCCTGGTTCTACCTAATGACAGTGGGTGGCTCTGAACACAGAGAAGGAGTCCGTAATTGCTGGGTCCTCCACTGCTGACCAAAGACAGATCTTACCAAACCAGCGTGCTTGCATGTGTGTGTTTGTGTGTGTGACTCTGGGTTAGGAAATGTCGCATTTGAAAAGACCTCAGCTGGGCCTTTAACAGGGATTCCAGTGCCCTGTCAGATGTGGAAGGAATAGCAGGCAGTCAGGTAGCAGAGTGAATTAGTAACTGATCAAGCATGCAGATACACAGATCAAAGTTGACACAAATGGGGGTATTCTCATTAGTAAAGTCCTCAGCTCCAGCCTGTTCCACACATTTTATTAATGACTTAAATGGAGCAATTAAGGGCCTACTTATTACATTTGCAAACAGAGACAAAGCAGATATATGAAATGTAAGGATTAACCTGGGATTGACAAAGCTGACTACTAAGGTTCCTTCTAAGTCTGAGAGTTTGCAAGATTATTTGAACAATTTAATAGGACTACTACTGTTCTAAGGTTACGTTTTGGAACACTAAGGAAATTTCTGTAATAGGATTTCCCTCCCGGGTGGGGTTTGCATCTTCCAGTGTCTGGGATGTGTACATACCTCCTCGCACCACCGAGGAGCCACCTTGAAAGACGGTATGACATCGTGCCAGGAAGTAATGATGCTAAATAGCATGTAGTTGGAAATGAGAAGTGGAAAACATCAGCTCCCTTAATTCTGGCAGATTTCCTCAACAAATTATCTTAGTAGCCAGTTTTCTTTGGTATAGCAGATGGATCCAACTGGCTAAGCAGAGAGTAGCTATATCACAATGACCACATTAATACTACTCAGAACATGTTTCTTCTTCCTTCAGTGAATTTCCTTTATTTCCGTGTGTACTGTACTGTCTCAGTTGGAACTCCCCCAGGGTCTATTCTTTTCGATTACTTAGGATGAGTACAGCTCTTATCTCTGTGACTTCTGACCTGCTGTGATGTCAGCTGTCCTGATGGATTAATTTTTCATAGAGAGACATGCCATATTTATGTCCAGAGTTCTTTGTGATAAGACACGTGACTAAAACCACGGAACTTAAGGAATTCTGGTCTGGATATAAAAACGCATTTCTTTTATGCGGTGCTTTAAGATGAAAATCTAATTCGAAGCCTCAAATCTTTTCTGTTTTCCCTTTGAATACTTTTCTTGGAATATCTTTGTCCATTTCATTGCTCTAGAATTACTGGTTAAAATATAAACTATTTCTCAGACTAGGCACTGGGAGTGGTCAATGAATACATCCTCAAAACTGAATCTCTAGGCAGGCAATGTAATTTGCATCCTGTTCTGTACTACACTGTTCTTTTTTGGTTCTTTCTTCTTTATCTAGCTAAGTGTCAACTATCAAAACATGAGTAGGCCTTGTATTTTTAGATCATTACAAACTAAAACAGAAGAATATTTGGTGTTACTGATTTAGTTATATTGAACTATATATTATGTGTAATTTTATAAATTATAAGAGCCTTAAATTTTAATTCTGTAGAAGAAAAGGGAAGAGTGAGATCTTGCCCTTTGCAACAACATGGATGGGCCTAGAGGGTATTAAGCTGAGTGAAATTAGACTGAGAAAGACAAATATCATATGATTTTACTCATGTGGAATTTAAGAAACAAATGAACAAGGGAAAAAAAGAGACAAAAAATGGACTCTTACCTACAAACTGGTGGTTGCCAGAGGAAAGGTCGGGGCTGGGGGCGGGGGGATGGAGTAGATAATATGGATAAGAGTGCACTTATCTTGATGAGCACTGAGTAATGCAGGGAATTGTTGAATATTATATACCTGAAACTAATATAACACTGTATGTTAATTATATTTCAATAAAGTAAATGAATAAACCCATGGAAACAAAAAGAGAGAGAGAGAAGAGAGAGAAATGCAAGCATTTCATGTTGCATGGGTGAGAAACTTCACTTCTGTTCTACGTGCATACTAATGATGCAACGTAACCTTTTATTTTGTTAACTGAAATTCATAATGGTTTTACATTTGTCAATTTTTAGTGAATTCATTTATGCTAACTATATCCTTTAAGAGAAAATGTCACCCATAAGCTTGAATTGCTTCAGCTGTGTATTTCATATATACTACTGGTGACGTTAAGAAAAGGGCACATTGGGTCTTCTTATCAGTCAAGTGAGTGGTCAAGAATGGGTCTGTGTTAACACAAAGGAAATCTGATGAATGGCTCCACAAAGCATCAAACAAGCATAACTCAGTTCCATGATTAGTGTTGTATCGTTAATTCAGGATCACAATACATTTTTTACTGGAGACCTGTTTGGATAATGGTCACAGACACTCTCATTTTGTACACTGAGGCCACATAACTGAAAACTGAAAGATGAGTTGTGATAGTTTAAAGAGATATTCTGCTAGGTTCAGACAAATTAAAGGATTTCAGGAACTAAGGTAACACCTATTCAAACTAAACTGTGATGAGTAGAAATGTCAAACTAGCCAGCACACCCACGTGCCAATATCAACATCAGACTTTGCTTTGCCTGTGCCCTCTGTCCCCTCCACACCACCTTGGCCTTCCCCACCTTGTTTTGCTCCTTTGCCACTCTGCCGTGAGGTTATCACCGGCTGCATCTTAACCCTTTCCCTGCCTGGCTCTATTGATATTAGTCCTTACAGAAAATCACTGCTGTCTTAAGAATTACCACGAAATAAAAAAATACAGTCTGGCTAGTTTCATAGTTCCATTTTCGGTATCTTAACACTACACTTTTCTTATTTCTCTAGGGGTTATTTTCCTCTTGCCCTCTTCTTGCCTCACTTCTCATCGATTTTTTTTCCTCTTTTATGCCAGGAATTTGGAGCTGTCCGTATCTGAGCCGTGACACTTAGGAGGAGCCTCCTGCAAGCTTTAGTGCAAATGAGGGGGCACCTCCTGGTCACCTCCAGTATTAGCCAGATATATCTATCAGAATATTCCCTGCCACTTTTTGAGAGTAGCAGATAAAAAACTGTTTTAACACTGCTTTAATTTTTTTAAAAGTAATTTATATTACCATCTGAGTTCCCAGATAACTTCATTCTCTTTAAATTTTGAGAACCTATGGACCTCATTGCACATGAGGTTAATTTTTTTTACATTAATATGCTTATCTCTCCTACTGTGGGATCTTCAAAAATTTCAGATAGCCTTCCTTGTGATTAGAGCATCTGACACATATAAATTGAAGCACTGTCCCTCAAGTCAGGAGATTTCGTTTTCGTCCCAGCTCTTCTCGTTGATTAGACTTGCTCTTAAATTCTTAAATTAGATTTGCTCTTAAATTCTTTGGGTTTCAACTTCCTTGTCTATAATCTGTTGGATTGAATCCATGGTTCTTAAACCTGAATGCATTTAGGATCACTTGGCCAGCTTTTAAAGTACGCTTGGGGGGGGGGGGGGGGAAGGTATCTGGGCCCTCACCTAAATAATCTGTTTAGTTGGGGGGGGGGGTGAGAACCTGTGCATTAGAAGTTATGTGTATCTCCCTTCATGATGCTAACGTGCAGTGGGGTTGAGAAATCACTAAATTAGTTGATGTATGAAGTTTCAACCAGCTCTAATGTTCTATGATTATGATACGATCTTTTTATTTTTTTATTTTATTTTTTTAAAAGATTTTATTTATTTATTTGACAGAGACACAGCGAGAGAGGGAACACAAGCAGGGGAGTGGGAGAGGGAGAAGCAGGCTTCCCGCTGAGCAGGGAGCCCGATGCGGTGCTCGATCCCAGGACCCTGGGATCATGACCTGAGCCAAAGGCAGCTGCTTAACGACTGAGCCACCCAGGCGCCCCTGATACGATCTTTTTAAATAAAATACTGAACAGGCACTTGTGTAAGATAATTTTGTAGATCTGATAAACACTTTGATAGCTGAAGGAACAAATGTTGCTCTAGGAATCCCAGAATTTCAGAGCATGGCCAGATCCCAGCCTTGTGTAAGTCACAGTAATCCATAAGTATACTTAAAGCATACCTTTTTTTTTTTAAACACAGGGACTGCTACAGATGAAATACCCTACATCATCTGAGATTTATCTTTAATTTTTTTAATGCAGAAAGGAATATATTGAGATGGGTCTTGAAGGAAAGAGAAATAAATATCACCCTATTCACTCCAAAAATGACAAATCAGGATGTTGTGTTCAGTGCATTTTTTTTTCTTAAAGACTATCTAAAATAATTTGTACAGATTTACCCTTTGTAAGGCATCCTTTTTCTTTTTGTTTTTGACTAATTTATGTAAGCATCTTAGGTTAACTGTAGTCTTGAGCAGCTTCTGAAACTTCAAGTGCAGAACATGCATCTTACACATACTAATCCCAACACTAAGCAGAAGCACATGAAGAGCTTACTGAAAGCCCCAAATGGAAGGTGCAAACTCCTAGGTAAATGGGCTCTCGCAAGACAAATGTGTCCCTGGTTGTTTCAGTGAAGGACGTATAGCCCACGATGCCAAATCTCTCTCTCCCTGGCATACATGCTTTTCTTCTCCATAATACCCTCACCTGGAAAAGGTCTTGCCTCTGACCTGCGGGGGAGGTTGGAAGCATACACCATTTGCTCTCCTTCTTCAAGGCCATTCCTCCGGGCAGGCCTAGCAAATTCTCTTTGGAAAGCAGGTGAGGACTTATCAGATATATTGATGATTCCAGTCGGGGCATAGTGTCCTTCATCGGAACCTTAAATCTGAAACGTGAGGTCGTTCAATGCCTCCTAAATTCAGTGCCTCCTAAGCCATTCAGAAAACTTAGGAAACAATTATGCTTTCCTGAGCAATTTTGACTTCTTCCCCTCCTTATTTTCCAGAACCCCTCCCTACCTTCTCATGGCAGCAGGAGAATGTGGACTCGGATGAAGCGCACCTCTCCCCACAGGCTGGGCGCCTGATTCGCCAGCTTCTGGATGAAGACAGTGACCCCATGCTCTCTCCTCGGTTCTATGCTTATGGGCAGAGTAGGCAGTACCTGGATGACACAGAAGTGCCTCCTTCTCCCCCAAATTCCCATTCTTTCATGAGGTATGTGTGTGTTGCTGATAAGCAAATGTATTCATCGCCATAATGTTAGAAAGAATAGGAATGGTGTTGATGGCTGGCAATTTTTTTTAACTACATTGTAAGTCTGTGGAAGAACATATTGGGAATTCTCCATCCTAGTACACAGGCTCTGTTGTAATTTTTCAGTTGGCCCAACTACATCACTGCATACTGAATTTCCACTAGCACATCCTCTCCAGAGCTATCTAAAATTTAACTCTCAGGTCTGCAGTGCATATTTCAGTCCTACCTTTGCTAATTGTAAATGTGAGTAAGAGAAAGTTAGGCCTATTTGATAAGTGGGACATAGAGAGCTCAGGGTCACAAGATGAATTGGTAGTCCCCTTTCTTTTATATGGGAAGATGGAGACTGTCTGGACCCTCTCCCTCCGTGCCACATCCCCATCCCCAAGCCCCTCGGCAGGCAGCGAGTGCTCCGCCCTGTGCCCCTCACAGGCGCCGGAGCTCCTCTCTCGGGTCCTACGATGACGAGCAGGAGGACCTGACACCTGCCCAGCTCACGCGAAGGATTCAGAGCCTTAAAAAGAAGATCCGAAAGTTCGAAGATAGATTTGAAGAGGAGAGGAAGTACAGAGTAAGTGTCTCCTCACAGGGTTGTCCCTATCCACTCCTGTCCCCTGACAATGCTCACATGCCAGCATATTAGAAACTCAGAGAAGTGATCAAAAGTTAAGGGAGAGGGCGCCTGGGTGGCTCAGTTGGTTAAGCGACTGCCTTCGGCTCAGGTCATGATCCTGGAGTCCCGGGATCGAGTCCCACATCAGGCTCCCTGCTCGGCAGGGAGTCTGCTTCTCCCTCTGACCCTCCTCCCTCTCATGCTCTCTGTCTCTCATTCTCTCTCTCTCAAATAAATAAATAAAATCTTAAAAAAAATAAAAAAAATAAAAAAAAAAAAGGTGAGAAGTAGGAAAAAAAAAAAGTTAAGGGAGATTTCTGGGGAGCCCCAAAACAAAAAGGCAATAGAAACTGGCTAGTAGGGGCACCTGGGTGGCTCAGTCGTTAAGCATCTGCCTTCCGCTCAAGTCATGCTCGGATCGAGCCCCGCATTGGGCTCCCTGCTCGGCGGGAAGCCTGCTTCTCCCTCTCCCTCTCCCGCTCCCCCTGCTGGTGTTCCCTCTCTCGCTGTGTCTCTCTCTGTCAAAATAAATAAATAAAATCTTTAAAAAAAAAAAAAGAAAGAAACTGGCTAGTAAACCCTGAGATGCCCCAGACATCATGTATCAGCATTTTCCTTGCACAGGGTATTCTTACAAATACGATTGAACATTTTAGTTGACCTCTTACAAACTTAACCTTGTGAAGGAATGGGAAAAATCATTAAATGACTCTTTATTTTGGCTCAAACTTAATTCAAGATTATCTTCTAAATTTTCATTAGTATTTACCTCATTCTGTTCTCAGCTGTATCTTAGCATTGCCCACAAGAGTGGCAGAAAGGCACTTTGCATGGTGATTCCAATGTAAGATGTATGTCCCCTCTGCTTTCCATTCTGTTAGCTTGACAACTTAAACCCTACAACTCATGAAAAGGGGCCATGGACTTCACGGAAGTCCAGCATTTTGCCTGTGAGGAATTCTCTGAAAGCATCAAAAATAACCATGTAAAGAAAGATAATGGAATTATATTGATGACATTTTCTCTAATTGTTCATGATGAATTTCTTTTTCCGGTGGGACTCAACCTTCTCTTCCTCTTTAAAACAAACTAATCATGGGGCGCCTGGGTGGCTCAGTCAGTTAAGCATCTGCCTTCAGCTCAGGTCATGATCTCATAGGTCATGGGATCGAGCCCCACATTGGGTTCCCCGTTCAGTGGGGAGTCTGCTTGAGATTCTCTTTCCCTGCTCTTTCTCTCCCCCTCCCCCGACTTGCACACATGCATACTCTCTCAAATAAATAAACAAACCTAAAAAAAAGACATAAAATAGTATAAAACTATGTATTGAAACCACCCAAAACAATAAAATTATCTTCTCTTAAAAAAAACCAGGGGGGCGCCTGGGTGGCCCAGTCAGGTTGAGCATCTGCCTTTGGCTCAGGTCATGAGCCCAGGGTCCTGGGATCGAGCCCCGCATTGGGCTGCCTGCTCAGTGGAAAGTCTGCTTCTCCCTCTGCCCACCCCACCTTGTGTTTTCTCTCTCCCTCTCTCTCTTTCTGAAAAAAATAAATCTTACAAAATTAAAAGAAATTAGAACAAACTGATCATCAAACTCATCTTCTTTTTCCTGCCCCAGTTTGCAAACATTTACATTCAATTTTGCTTTTCTCAGCCTTCTCATAGTGACAAAGCAGCCAACCCAGAGGTTCTAAAATGGACAAATGACCTTGCCAAATTCCGGAAACAGCTTAAAGGTGGGTGACATTGTAGACCTATGCCATGGTTTCAGGAAGACAAGCCACCTGCAGGATTCACGATCTCACCACATCCCGAGTGCCCCTGTTGAAATAGTTCGGAAAGACAAGTTCCTTGATGCTGCTTCCCAGCGCACCTGGTGTAGGGGGACACCTTCCCCACGTCTCACCATGCTCTCCATCACAGGGCAACCCGGATCAGTTAAGATGCAAATGCTGCAGCATTTCCCCATTTCCCTAAATCATGAATTTTTATTTGCTGTGGTGTTAGGAGAAGACCTGTAAGCACGGAGGAATATAAAAAGGATTGGGCCCTTGTCCCTCAAAAAGCATGCTGTCTTTTAGGAGATAGTCATATAAACAACCAAATGGAATACAAAGGGAAAATAATGCCAAAATGACGTATGTAAGTTATCTGGAAAAAGTTGGCCAGCAGTTGGGGGTGCTGGATCAGTCAGTCAATGCTGTTAAACAGTAAGGGAGTGGGTATAGAACCATCTGCCACATTCTGAGAACAGCAAACCTGTTGGTGTGGCTAAAGCATGAACGTTACATAGCTAAAGCTTTTTCAGGAATTTGGGTTAGGGAATTATTCCAGATAATCCAAGAAGATGTTAGCATTTTCTCAGGTTTTACATAATAACCCAGAGATTTCGACTACTGTTATAATTAGATACTTTCCAAAAAAAGATGGGGCTGAATGGTTAGTAACACCACAGAAAAACAATTGGGGTTCAGCAGACATCAATTCTCATATGTCACCACCCCCAAATGTTTTCAAACTAGAGTCCAAACTAAAGATATCTGAAGAGGACCTAAGCCCCAGGATGCGGCAGCGAAGCAACACGCTCCCCAAGAGTTTCGGTTCCCAGCTTGAGAAAGAAGACGAGAAGAAGCAAGAGCTCGTCGATAAAACTGTAAAGCCTAGCGTCGAAGCCACGCTGGAATCCATCCAGAGGAAGCTCCAGGAGAAGCGGGCAGAAAGCAGCCGTCCTGAGGACATTAAGGTGTGGGGATTCGGTGGCGGCCCCAAGCCAACTGCTAGTCAATATGGTGGCAACACAGGGCCCGACACATGGGTCCCGGTGGGAAGAGGGACGCGGCAACGCCTGCTCAGACCTCCCACGCCCTGGTCTCCCACACGCTTAGATGTCTAGAGAAGCAGATGGAACAGCCTGAGAGTGTTTTCAGTGCTAGTACTTTGGTTTATGATGACACATTGAAAGCAGAACACTCTCATGTAGAGATCGCAGAAAGAACTCGTGCAGGTTAACAGACAGTTTGATGACTCTAGAGTAGAAGGATCGTAGATGAACCTTTGGGGCTGTAGTCCTGGCTTGGGCCATTCAGCTAAGCCCCACGTGCCTCGCAGCCCCGCTTACCTCATCCTGCCTTTGCGGCCGCGTGGGACACAGAGTTGATGGCGACTCTGCTGTACTAGCTCTTTCGCTGGCAGAAAGCCGGGACAAGCTGACTCCTAAGCGAGCTCTGAATAGAGCCCGGAGGAACGACTGTAGGAGGATGCTTTGTAACCTTACTTGAGGAGATTTGTCTACAGAAAGAAGTAGGAGTGCTCGTAAATGTTTCCCCACCTTTCATTTTTCTCTCCTTGTGTTTATTCAGGATATGACCAAAGACCAGATTGCCAACGAGAAGGTGGCTCTGCAGAAAGCTCTGTTATATTACGAAAGCATTCACGGCCGGCCGGTATGTGAATGTACTGGGTTTCCTGATTGGGGTCAACTGTGTGGCTTTAGAAATGAATCTTCTGTGTTCGGTATTTGACATATGAGTTTTCCTGACGTTTAGGAGATGCCTACAAATTTTCAGCAGACCCAGGCTCTCTGGAGGCTAAACTGAGGAGAGGCTTAAGCTGTGGAACAGATGCTGGCTTTGAGTTCCAAAGAAACATGAGTTTGCAGCTAACATTTAGTCACTACTGTCCTGCTTCAGGGGGACAGTGGTGGAGGGGGTGTAGATTACAGATGCGTGCACAAATCCCTAGAGACTCCTCCGTCCCTAGGTCTGCCCCCATACGCTGTCACTGGCTCGAGGCATTCTTGTCCTTAAAATGAAGGTGTTAAACTAGTATGATTTGCCCTAAAATTCAGTCTCTCTTCAATGTAGCCGCGGTCAGTGTTTATCTGTAGAGAAGTTCCAGCCCCCATCCTTTTTTTTTTTAATTTTTTTTTATTCTTATGTTAATCCCCATACATTACATCATTAGTTTTAGATGAAGTGTTCCATGATTCATTGTTTGTGCATAACACCCAGTGCTCCATGCAGAATGTGCCCTCCTCAATACCCATCACCAGGCTAACCCATCCTCCCACCCCCCTCCCCTCTAGAACCCTCAGTTTGTTTTTCAGAGTCTATCGTCTCTCATGGTTCGTCTACCCCTCCGATTTCCCCCGCTTCATTCTTCCCCTCCCGCTACCTTCTTCTTCTTCTTCTTTTTTTTTTTTTCTTAACATATATTGCATTATTTGTTTCAGAGGTACAGATCTGTGATTCCACAGTCTTGCACAATTCACAGTACTCACCATAGCACATACCCTCCCCAGTGTCTATCACCCAGCCACCCCATCCCTCCCACCCCACTCCCCACTCCAGCAACTCTCAGTTTGTTTCCTGAGATTAAGAATTCCTCGTATCAGTGAGGTCATATGATACATGTCTTTCTCTGTTTGACTTATTTCGCTCAGCATAACACCCTCCAGTTCCATCCACGTCGTTGCAAATGGCAAGATCTCATTCCTTTTGATGGCTGCATAATATTCCATTGTATATATATACCACATCTTCTTTATCCATTCATCTGTCGATGGACATCTTGGCTCTTTCCACAGTTTGGCTATTGTGGACATTGCTGCTATAAACATCGGGGTGCACGTACCCCTTCGGATCCCTACTTTTGTATCTTTGGGGTAAATACCCAGTAGTGCAATTGTCCAGCCCCCATCCTAAACCAAAAGTGTGAGGAATCCAAAATAGGACTTGCCTTTTCATAGCAACAGGAAGCATCAAAAGCGATTTGTTACTCAGCAAATCGTGTGTTTGTCATTAGTCCTGGGGGGGTGGGGGGGTGGACAGTGGCACGAGAGGCTTCTGCTCTATTCCTTGAGAAACTCGTAATCAGATACTTGTCAGTTACTCTCAGTGACCTTCTGTGGAGAGTGTTATCTAAAATCCAACAAAACAAGTTCTTAAGAGCAGCTATAAAGGAGCGTGAAGTTTATATTCACAGAAGGATTTGTATACAGCCAAAATGCAGAGGTCTCTCTTCCAGTCACAGGCACGGCTATATAATGGAGATGGTATTTTCATGTAAAATACACTCTTTTGAATAAAGAAGGTCCCAGAAGAATGCACTAGACTTTAAGATCTGTGAGGGCAGGAATTTTGTTGACCTAATGGGGCACCTGATCCTTGGCATCTAGCACAAAGACCTGACACATACCATGTGCCCAATAAACTGTCTGTAGAATGCATCCTCCATGGTATTTTTGGTTCTGAATTTATCAGGTTTAAATTAAAAAAAAAAAAAAGGCTGGAGCTGCTGATGATTGATTTTACTGGCCTGTCCCTAAAGCGGAAAAATACTGGTGCTCTGGGATAATGGTCATGTTTCAGGCCAAGTTGTGTTTTGGATTTTTTAAAGGCATTGAACCAGAAAGGCACTGGAGCTCAAATATATTGTGAAACTTGTCCTTTTCTCCTGGAGGATTCAGAACTTGCAGAAGTAGAACTGAACTCCTTCTAGCAGAGAGAAGGCCCTTCTCCACTGTCAGCTCAGCGCCTTTTAAGTATAGATCTCCTCATGGCCACCAGGCAGGTGCGGAAGGAGGGGGAGAGTTGTGTGCTTTCCTTTTCAGCATTTCTTCTTTTTCTCATGTGGGTTCACATCTGACATTGATGGACTCCTTTAAGGACTTCTTTGCCTGAGGCCCCACAATCTCTCAGCTGCTTTCTAGTACCAAACTTTACGGCCAATTTGGGGGCCCGGATGCCAGGTATTTGTTGCTCAAAGTTGGACACAGAGCCTCTCATTCTGCCTGGGCTGAAGGGATGGGCAGGGACTTGGGTCCGCAGTCCTAGATTGAGATCCCAGCCCTACTGAGACCAGCCCTGGAGCTTTGGGCTACGGAGGTAGGAGTCCAGGGCTTTGATTATACCATCCATAGCTATCCGTTATAGGTTGTCATGGAGACCAATGGGCAGGTCAGACACGCACAGACACATTTACCTGTGGGCTGTCTGGCACTGAGGAAGTGGGCTGGCTGGCTTGGCAGGTGGCTCAGGGGGTGCCCATCAATGATGTTGTCACTTCTGCTACAGGTATATGTTCTGCTGTCTACAGCCTACTTCTTATTAAGTGATGAACTCAGGAGAGAGAACGCACCTTGTTTTAACTCTCTTATCATTAGGAATATGAAATCTTAGTTCTTGGCCCTGCTCTATTATTTCCTTTCCTCTCAGTGTTCTTTTAGATGTTGGAAGAACACCTTTTTGGGTCTGCATTCTAGCATCTCATCGGGCAGGGAACAAGTTCTCTAGAACTTTGAGTGGCATTTGTTGCTGGTTCATGGTTAGACTCTCTGCCTCTCTGCAACTTGATGCTCCAGCCTCCTCAGGAAAAGCAGAGTTCATTTGATATCTGGCCAGTGTGAAAAATCAAAGAGTAAACTTTTCATTCTTAGGTCTGTGGTGTTGCCATGGACCCTGAACTGTAAATACCATTTGGGCAACACTCTTTTGTTTATTTGTTTGTTTTTAGAAAAGCAGGTGCTCAAAGCTCATGGGTTTTTGCTGAATCTACAGATTCTGATTCGAAAGGACAATGAGAGACTGACTGTTAGAATCGCAGGCCAAAGCCGTTGTGTGCGGCTCTTGTACATTTTTTAAACAAGGCATTTTGCTTTAACAGGGCACTCCACAGAGTGACACGTGAATGAAAAACAAAACACACTCATTTACACAGGGGCACATAAATCCCTACTAATTATTAAGAAAGCATGTCCTTTCAACATTTAAAGAACTCATCGAAAGATAATCACAGAAAGTACAGCACACAACTGCAGGTCACCATATTACAGACCACTCCTTGATGAGAGCGTAGAAGGAATGGGTTGCTTGCTCAGAGCTTCTGGTTTCTTCCTGAGTCTCTTCCTCATCAGGATATTTTCATGTTATGTTTTAATATCTTGGGAACTAACGTGACACTGAACACACTCTGTTCAAATTTAAATGCAAACTCTGAAGCCTTAAATAAATACTGCCCTTTGGCTCTCTGCTATTTGGGATGATCTGATCTTTGCCCAGTCTATTATTTTTACCTGATAATAAAGAGGAGAGAGTTACCTCTTTCTGAGTCGATGGGCCAAGATGCAGTCGTTATAAGAATCCATCTCATTTGTCTTCTCCTGCTAGTAGTTTTATGACTCAGGAGTACCCCTCCACACGCAAACTCAAACCACTTGTTTTGCTAAGAAGATTTTGAGGCTGTATAGTTTCTTGTCTGCCTGTGGCATAATTTCTCACAAAATGGTGCTTCCATGCTACTGTTTATAGCTAGAGGTCTTGTGAACTCAACCTAGGCAGAGCTCTGTGCTTGGAAGGCAGAATTCTCTACATTAAGAAGACAACGTGGTCAGACCCTATTAGAAGAAAATGCTTCATTGTGACATTTCTAGTATGTCTTCACTGTGTTAAGATCCTACTTTACTTCATGTCTTATTTGTGAATGGAAAGAAAACTGAACTGGGAGTCCGTGAACCTGGGTTCTTGACCCAAATCTGTTGCCTGGGGCAAATCATTACCCTCTCCAGGGCTTTGTTTCATCGTATGAAAAAATAAGGCTTTTCTAGCTCTGATATTCCAGGGTTCTAATTCTATCTTTATCTTCACATTAAAAGGATCAGTCATTTTCTCTTCACCTGTGTGGCACTGTCCAGGTAACAGAGTCCGGATGGGTGTTGCTGTAAGGAAGTTTTATTCAAGGCTAAGACAAAAACCCTCACAAAAGATAAAGACAGGCAAATGCGGTTGTCTAATTGGTCCTTTGTAATTTGTGTCCAAGACTTTCCTCTATTTAAATGTGGATTAATTATTGGCTGGTATTCCCTTGGTACCTGGAAATATTATCTGAGACTTTACAGAGCAACCAAATAGCATAGTAAGTGATCAGTCGTTGAAGATTTCTTTAATCAAAAACAAAAACCGGGGTGCCTGGGTGGCTCAGTCAGTTAAGCGTCCGACTCTTGATTTCTGCTCAGGTCATGATCTTAGGGTCCTGGAATTGAGCCCCACTTTGGGCTCCATGCTCAGCGTGGAGTCTACTTGAGATTCTGTCTCTCCCTCTCTCCCTTCCCCCACTTGTGTGTTCTCTCTAGATAGATAGATAGATAGATAGATAGATAGATAGATAGATAGATAAAATCTTTTTTTAAAAAAAAAAAAGCAAAGACAGAATGGGAGGTGCTGCCTTCACCCTTTAGATGTTTGCATCTAGGTTTTTATGTTGTTCTGACTTGTGTGCAAAAATACATCTTAGTAATAACCCTATTCCCACACACTGGAAAACCATTCAGAGCTCTACCACCTGAATGAAAATTTAGTAAAGGTTTGAGGCAAAAGGAGTGAAAGTGTAATAGAAAATACAATGTATTACATGCTTGGCCTAAAGTCATTTCCAAGCAACTATAGATCATAAAAGATTTTCTAATATGAATGCTGCAGTTTACCAATCAGGAAATCGAGGCTCAGAGAATTTTACTGGCTCATTCAAAGGCCTGTTTTCCATCAGTAACAGAATCTCCGAGCAGCCGATGACTCAAGAATAAGAGACAGCAGCTTCCAAACAGTTTTCCCATGGTCCATTTAATATCAGCTCACCCTTTTTTTTAACAGTTCAGCCAAGGCCCTGCTTTGTTTATGGAACTATTGGTTAGATTTTGGCTCTACTAACAAATCCAGTTCTGATAATTGCATGTGATGTGGTTTTATGATGAGTGAAAGTTGTATCAACTTTTAGTATCACCAAGCCTTTGGCTTCAGATATATATCATGAAAATAATTATGGTGTAAATCAAGTAGTGTTAATTCTTTCCACCCCTCAGACTTAAAGATCTTTAATATTCCTGGTGTTTAGACACTTCTATCAAATGCCAGTGTTAACTTTGGTGGAATTATGATGGGTTTAGCTCTCCAGAGTCAGAAACTGGACTTTATCAAATCACTCACAGGTGATTAGTTCCTGAGGATCATCAATTTAAAACATGAGCAATTCGTAGAAAACCTAAATATCAGTGTCATAAGCCAAAGAATTAAACCAAGGATCCTCTTCATCTGCTCCAACTAGAAAATTTCAACAAAGAATTAGAGAGGAAACTGGCTTCTGTCAAATTTGCCACATCTGGCTGGTTTTACTAGCAAAGTCTCCTTCTAAAATTCAGACTCTCCTTTTACAACCCAAAAATGTTTCTGCCAAGCAACAAATAATAGGATGTGAGTCCACAGTGGGGAAATGCTAGCTCCTTATTATTTTTTTCGTATGCCTTTTGGTCACTAAACTATCAGTTGTTTATCTTGCACAAAATATTTCACCCCATGTCATGTGTTGACAATTAGGATGTGCCTTAACCTCATCTGCAACACATTTAATGGATACATCTTGTATTTAAAAAGGTATTCCATGTGTTCCAGTCCTGAATTTTATCATTTCACACGTGAGATTGTACAAGCCACTCCATTTCTACTCCTCAGACTTATCTGCGGCTGTTGTTGAACTCTTGTTGAAGTATAACCTAAATACAGAAAGAAGCGCACATTGTAAATATGTATCTTGATGCACTTTCACAAAGTAAACGAGTCCAGGTAACTAGCATCTAGACCAAGAAATAAATGTTGCCAGTCCTCCAGAAGCCCTGCTCCTTGTCCCCTTCCAGTTAATACCATGACCTCCACTCCATGAGGGAAAACCATTATCTTAACTCTAAAGCTGTAAATTCTCTTTGCTTATTTCTGAACTTACGTAAGTGGAATCTTACAGTACATATTCTGTAGTGTCTGGCTTATTTTACTTGGCTGTCTTTTTGTGAGATTAATTTATGATGTCTCCTGTAGCTGTGGCCCATTCATCCTCATTGCTGTGCAGTATTCAGTTTGGGCAACATACCCGTTCTGTTGCCGGGCATATGGGCGGTTTCCAGTTTGTGGTTGTTACAGGTGGTGCTGCTGTGAACATTATTCGGTGTGTCTTTTGGTGAGCTAGCGGCCGTACTTGGTGGTTGTTTTTTTTATACTTAAGAGCGGAACTGAGGAGTCACATGCTCAGCTTTAGTTGGACAACTGCCAAATTGTTGTCCAGAGTGTTCCACAAGCAGCAGTGAAAGAGAGTTCCAGTTCTTCAGCATTCTTGCTGACACTTGACATGATCTGTTGACTCATGTTAGCCTTTGCAGTAGGCGTGTCTAGTAGTAACACCTGTGGTTTGATCCTCAGTCTTTCTGACATAAAATAATTCCTGTGTTCCCTTTCATTTTGGACAGTCATCTTCTATGAAATACCAGTTTTAAAACTCCTTTTGATATGGTAGCTAGCCATAGGAAAATGCCATCTGCCTTTCAATATTGTGATATTCGGGAGAAATAGAGAAGATTATTATTATTGCTGTTCATAGAAAATAAGTCCACAAGATGTTTCTGCATAATGGCAGTATCCTATCCTGGCACGTGAAGTTCGTCCAAAGATCACTTGTTGACCACTTTGAGAAAGGCAAATATAAAAGGTTACAAAGGAATAATCCATTCGTGCATAACCCACGGTTGTCTGCAAAGTTGAAGTCCCAACAGGCCCATAATACCATTTGCCCTTCCTTACATCTGTAACTCTTGCCTTATGTGCCCAGTGGAAATAAAGTGCAGAAGACAAACTGCAAACTTGAAACAAAGACTCTTCATCTCTTTTGGCATTTAAGTAAAGAAGGGAAATGTGTGCATACCTATACACTTTGCATACGTGTTTATGTTTGAAATATCCTCTCACTTCGCAGATACTGTGGAATGTTTCCATTATGTCAGGCACTGAAATAGTTTCCAGGGATACAAAAACACATACTCCTGCTCTCAAGGAGCTTACAGTCTTGAAGAGGAGACAGATGTGCCAACAAATAGTTACTATAGAGTAAAATGTGTCATCTACTGGGGCTGCTATAACAAAATACCATGCACAAGGGCCTTATAAACAACAGACATTTATTTGTCACAGTTCTGGAGGCTGGAAGTCCAAGATCAAGGCTCTGATGGACTCAGTGTCTGGTGAGGGCCCTTTCCTGGTTCCCCGACAGCCATTTTCTTACTGTCCTCACATGGCAGAAGGGGCCAGGGAGCTCTCTGGGGTAGTGCCCTTCTATAAGAGCACTACTCCTGTTCATGAGGGCTTCACCCCCATGACCTAATCACCTCCCAAAGCCCCCACTGCCTGATAACATCACATGGGGAACCAGGTTGGAGTGGATTCACACATTCCATCGCCAGCAAAGCATGTGTGAAGTTACGCAGTATACACAGGTTGCAGTAGGTGACACAGAGGTGTGTGAGCAGGTCTCTCAGAGTGGGGGATGTTGGAAGAAGTCTGCATGGGGGGAGGTGGCTCATGATCTGCAATCTTCCAAACCAAGGAGCAGAGAGGAGGCCGTTCCAGGGCATACGGAACTAGGCAAAGAGGTATGAGACAACCTGGTTTATCTCTGGAGCTTGAGGTATGACAGGAAGAAGAGACAGCAGATGATGAAGGGCTTCTAGTACAATCCCAGGGAGTTGGGCCTGATTCCTCCCCCCTGCCTGTAGACGCAATCCTTTCTATGTCTGTGAGCATTCTGCCAGATTTTAAGGCACTGGACATGAGTCCGTCCATGCAGTCTATCAGCAGATGTTTCTCGAAAACCTACTGTTTGCCAAAATCTTAGCCTTAAAAACAAAACAATTTCATGGGGGAGAAAGACTTGTTAAAAAAAAAAAAAAAAAGGGCGCCTGGGTGGCTCAGTTGGTTAAGCGACTGCCTTCGGCTCAGGTCATGATCCTGGAGTCCCAGGATCGAGTCCCACATCGGGCTCCCTGCTCAGTGGGGGGTCTGCTTCTCCCTCTGACTCTCTTCCCTCTCGTGCTCTCTGTCTCTCATTCTCTCTCTCAAATAAATAAATAAAATCTTTAAAAAAAAAAAAAAAAAAAAAATCTGGGCGCCTGGGTGGCTCAGTTGGTTAAGCGACTGCCTTCGGCTCAGGTCATGATCCTGGAGTCCCGGGATCGAGTCCTGCATCCAGCTCCCTGCTCGGTGGGGAGTCTGCTTCTCCCTCTGACCCTCCCCTCTCATGCTCTCTCTCTCTCTCATTCTCTCTCTCAAATAAATAAATAAAATCTTTAAAAAAAAAATCTGATTACAGAGCTGCACAGTATTATCACAGAAATACATGCTTTCTTCTCTCCTGGATCTGGAAAATAGGAAATCACTTTGGATAGTTTTAAACAGGGAACCAGTCATGGTCATAGCTTTGATTTAAGAAAAGCAATCCTGCTGATGGAGTGATTCCCAAAGATCTGCCGTTGAAGTAGGTATTTTAAACATTCACTGACTAACTACTACTATCAGCTTAAATAAGTTTTGCAAGAATGGCGAGAGAGGAGTTGAATCATCTGTATTTCCTCCAGGCCCAGAGCATGCTTGAGCAGCTGATAGCGGGACAGGGGCAGCTTCTTAGCTCTGATGCTCTTGTTTTCAGGTGACCAAGAATGAACGTCAGGTAATGAAGCCACTGTATGACAGATACCGGCTGGTCAAGCAGATCCTGTCCCGAGCCAACACCATACCCATCATCGTGAGTACAGCGCCTTTCTGCGGTTGACCGCCTGTGGGACGGGCCCTGGCGCTATTGACAGAGCCCCGCCCTGCCTTCTCACTGAGGAGTAGTCTGTCATAGTTGAACCTGTCATGAATCTGTGGCTCATAAGCTTGGGGAATGAAGAATGTATCAAAGACTTCTGAGACTACAGTTGCCTCAAAGGAGCAAATCTGAAGCAGCTGGAGTTTTGTGTCCGCCCCTCTGACTTGTGCTGGGCTCACTGCCCCACCCTTTCCTCGGGAGACCGAGCACCAGCACCCCGGGGCTGTGTTTTCTCCAGGCCCCTCCAGGCCAGAGGCCCGTCCGGTCCCAATCTTCTCTCTCCCTCCAAGAGACGGATAGCCCCAGTGGGAATCCCATCCAGGAAGAGATCCTCTAAGGAGCTCCAGAGAGCCGCCTCTCTTTGGAGGCTATCAAGAAGCTAAGGTGGAAGAAAAGGGAGGAGGCTAGTGTCTGTGGGGCTGCTCTCAGTGGCCACTGTCATCTGACTGACACATAGCTGCTCCTGGCCTCTGAATTTTGATTTTGTCCAGAGTAGGGACCAGCAGCTTGCCTTCAGGCACTGGCCAACTCGCCCTCCTCCCGTACTCCAGTATTTCCACCCAGCTTGTGAGTGAGCCTTACTGCCCTCTCACCTCCTGGGGGAGCCTTTGCCTCTGGCCCAGTGCTGTCCTCTCTGGGAGCGCTGGGGGCTTTCTCTGCTGACTTTTAAACTTTCTAATAAACAGACACAGCCTTGCTTTTATGTTGTTATTAAGGTGCATGTCATCTTAGCTGCTGCTCTTCGGTTCCTGCTTTAAATCTCCCTGTTTGTTTGTTTCTTTTCTTTTTTAAAAAAAATTTTCTTTTTGGGGCGCCTGGGTGGCTCAGTCAGTTAAGCATCTGCCTTCGGTTCAGGTCATGATCCCCGGGTCCTGGGATGGAGCCCTGCGTCAGGTTCCCTGCTCAGAGGGAGTCTGCTTCTCCCTCTCCCTCTGCAGCTCCCTCTGCTGTTCCCCTGCTTGTGCTCTCTCACTCTCTCAAATAAATAGATAAAATCTTTAAAAAAAAGATTTTCTTTTTAAGCAATCTCTACACCTAACATGAGGCTCAAACTCACAACCCCGAGATCGAGAGTTGCATGCTCCAATGACGGAGCCAGCCAGGCGCCCCTCCTTGTTTATTTCTAAGATATGATCTTTGTATTTCTTTTAACAGTGTATCTGTCCCTCAGAATGAGGGAGGTTCCAGACTTCAGGCAGGTGTGTTAGAAGAAAGCAACTTCTCTAGAAATTTTTCACAGAATAAATTAGTAAACTAACCAAGGAAAGGATTCAATCTAAGCAATCCTTTCCTTCTCCAGTTACGAGCTCCAAGTGCCCCTCAATAAGTGTTCCTAAATAAGGAGAATGTACAGCAGGGAGGCCACGCAACCTCTGAATCCCCTGAGGAGCTTATGGTGTTATGCTTGAGGCTTATAGCGGTTCCCAGGTTCTCGTTCCTGCTGTCATCGGTTGGGGGGGTGGGGGCGGGTGGCAGGCCAGTGCCTCTCCTCGGGCTCCTTCTGCGTTCGGTTGGCGTGCTCGTGTGCTGTTCTTGCTCGCCTGCAGCCTCCTTGGCTTGGGGCTGTGGGCTCTGGAGTGAAGCAGCACCTCGGACGAGAACTTTGGTTGCCCCTGGTTTTCCTGGGAGTGTTTGGCGGGGAGGGGCTAGGGTATATAGTTCAAAGTCAGTGATGAATCCTAGGGCATTGGAGGAGGCAGAGGCCTGGAGGGCAAGGGAGAGGGGTTCACCATGTAACCACCTTGTCCACACCTGTTGCAGGGATCGCCCTCCAGCAAGCGGAGAAGCCCTTTGCTGCAGCCAATTATCGAGGGCGAAACGGCTTCCTTCTTCAAGGAGATAAAGGTGAAGACCTCCGGCCGCTAACCTCTCCCAAATTGGCTTCCATTCTCTCCCCGCCTCCCCTACTCCTGTGGATGCAGGTGGGGGGGGGGCGCGGCGCTGGGCCCCGGGTGCTGGTTTCCCATGCTGTTTCCTCATAATCATCAGCTGCTCCTAACCAACCACTAACGGTCCCCTCTTACGGATACGAGGGCCGAGCTGATCTCCTGAGTTCCTTCTCATTCCCCTACTTTTTTGTGACTTGTTGTTTGTTTTGTTTTCATTTTGCTTTCAGGGAGTTGGGCGGGGGTGGGGGTGGTTCACAATATTTTTTGTTTGTTTTCCTCTATTTGGGATGGATTTTCTGTATTCCAGAGTCTTCTTCAATGAACTCATTGGGTAACTTTCCCAAAAATCTTATTTACTGAGTTTCTAGAAAGCCCGGCATTAACAAAGGCAATCTAGATAGCACACAACAAAAAAACTATCATTTTGCAGCCCGGTATCTTCCTTGTCTTTGCCCAATTTGCTGGTGCAGTCTCACCCACTCCTCCGCCTTTTGCCTTTCCCCTCAGGGCTAAGTTAATAACCTGCTCCTGATCTGTGAATACAGTGCCATCGCCAGCAGCCGCTGGAATCAATGCTCTGGTTTTTTACCGCAGTAGTAATTATGGGTTTTATACAGGTAATCCTTGTCCTCGATGGCCACTTTTGTTCAAATGGGAAGTAGACTCTGCTCCCAGGTCTGCGTGTCTCTGTAGGGACCTACCTGGCCTGGACCACCATCAGCCTCTTTCACAGTTTTGTTTCTAGACGACTGAGCAAACTGGACTACCTTCTACAGGGCTCTAGAAATGAAAAATCAGATTTTTTTTTTTTTTTAAATCAGTGATTGTTTGTTAGCAATTGGAGTTTCACTTCTCATATTTCTGGGAAAGCCCTAAGCCTGGGGTGGTCATTTATCTACTGTAGCTAGGAATGGTATCACAGAACACGAGGGCCTCGTTCCCACGAGCGACACCAGTTGGGGACTGCTCCATTGTCCTGCCTGGTCCTCATCACTGTGACTGGTCTTCAATCTTATTTATTCTTGTCCTTTTCTTAGTTCTTAGGGGCCTTCAATATTTCATATACCTAATTTTAAGGTATTAGGCAATGATTATGCTCACTATTCGTATTATTTTACCTAGAACTTGTTTTATAAAAATGCTTGACATAACAATTAAGCAAATACGCTCTATTATATTTTGAAAATTGGAGCTATTTTCTTATAATAAGACTGGATGTTGATGAAAGAAGACAAATTTTGTCTGGCTGGTAATTTCACACGAGAATGAAGTCACCGTAATTGAAGAAATTTGGGCAATTGTGTGTATTGAAAATGAGCATTTCTCTTAGAAGCATGCAATAGAACTGTTACTAGATAAAAATGTGTTCTTTAACACATCCAAAATATGACAATAAATAATTGCCTCATTAAACGAATGGAAGATATATTTAATGATGCACTTTTTAAAAGAGGGCATTCTTCCAAATCTTCTTGTTCGGCTCAGTTTATTTTTTTCACAAGTATATTTTGGCCATGGCTCTTCTTCTGGCCCACGTGGTGGTCAGAATTTCAGATAATTTTGCAATGCTTACATTGCTTTTATAAACAGTGTTGTCTTTTAGTTCATTTTGTTCCAACTGGCTGGGCTTATTAGCATGTGTTTGGACTGTACTAATTCTTGGCAATTCTGATACAATTTAGAACTTGATGTGGGTACAGATCAGAAGATTGTATCAAGGTGGTTTCCTTAAAAGCCATCCCTGGTTTTAAATGCTTATGGTAGGAAACCAGCTGTGTGTGAAATAGAACCAGCTCAGGTTCTAAAGCCCTAGATCTTCCATCCCCCAAATCCTAGAGATAGTCTAGTCAATTCTCCTATCCAACATAAGAATTTCCTTTAAAACTTACCTGACAGAATAGAGACACTATCCCTAAAAGTGATTCTATCCTCAAGCTTGAAAAGTTTACGGCAATGGAGGTCACTCATTCCATGGGCTAAGCATCAATAGGAACTAAAAACTTATATTACTAGTTTTATCATTATCATGAGAATACTAAGAGACAATAATAATTACATAATATGCAGTTTCAGAATGTATGTTTGATAAGTATAAAGATAATTTAAAATTACAATATTCATAGTTATTACTAATGTATTGCTTTCTACGTAATAGGCTTAGTGTTGCCTCTTGGAACAACATGGAGTGAGCGTAACTGCTGCTTCCTTGAGAGCCCTTCATATCTTTACAGTCACCTACCCTGTCCACTCTCACCCACAGCCTGTGGAAGTTTGTTCTCCAAGTTCTTCTTCCTATTCCTCATGCGATATTGGTCCCAGACCTTCCAGCAACCTCATGGTTCTGCCCTAATCACACCAGTTTGTCTATATCCCTCTGATACACTGATAGCCAGAGAGGACTTCACCAGCAAGGTAGATGGTGGACCAAGGACTGGTCCTGATCTTTATCTGGACGCCCAGGGCCCTTTGTTCGACAAGTCTGTGCCCACGTGACTGTCTACATGTTGTGAGTTCACTGTTCTCTTTCTAGGGCAGCCCACGTCCAGCTTCCGCACTGTAGACATCTTGGGCCAGACAGCTTGCTGTCGTTGGGGGCTGGCCTCTGGCCACTGGATGCCAGTAGTGCCCGACAGTCACCCCCTTCCCAGCTGTGGTGACCAAACCTGTCTCCAGACCTTGCCAGGCCTGCTAGGGCCAGCATCACGCCCGGGTGAGAGCCACTCCCCGCGGTCCCATCTCACTGCTGACTGATGCAGCCTCTTGCTTCCCTTTCCGTGGATTGCTTGTCGTCCATGTCCAACTATTTTTTCTAACCTAAACTGTAGGACCTGGAATTTTTTGTCACACTTCTATTCCAGCCCTGTGAAATGGATGAAATCTAGATTTTTGTATTCCAGCATACCAAATATCCATGGCTACTTTGTATGATCTTTGCATTTTGTGAATATGACTTTTGTGTCTTTTATCCAAGTGATTGATAAATATTGAGTAAGGCTGGGTCAGGTAAAGAACCTGCTGTAGACTTTCCTTCAGATTCACATCACTATTGCATCATCACTCCGCACAGATTTTCACAATCAGCTTTCTTTTCTTTTGTTTGTTTGAAGATTTTATTTTTTAAGTCATCTCTACATCAAACATGGGGCTTGAACTCAAAACTCTGAGACCAAGAGTCATATGTTCCAACTAAGACAGCCAGGTGCCCCATCAGCTTCCTTTCATAGATCAGCTCCCCTCATTAATTGTTGAAATCCAGATATTATGCCAGTCCTAACAAAAAAGGAAAAATGGTTTGTTTCCATCATTTGTTTTAAGGGATCCACTGTTGATCATGGACTCTTTTTCAATTGTTCATATGTTATCTATGTGTTCATTCCTTCTAGAATCTACCCAATATCCACAACAACTTGATGGTCATATAATTTGAAGATATAGTTTATCATTTCTTTTTTTTTTTTTTTCCTATGACTTTTTACCACTTGCTGAGAATAGTTTTGTTTAGCCTCATCTTTAAATACATTGAGTTCTCACTATGGGCAAGACACATTCTCACATTTTTAAGTTCCCTTAAGACCTTGGCATGTAACTGATTAGGCCTAGACACCTGACTTTATTTCTTATCTGTCTTGGGATGTAATACTCTCTTCTAGTAATCTGTATTTTTCTTTTAAAACTGGATTACTGGACTGTTTGACAGATGTTAATTAAGCACCTACTATATGCAGGCATGGCTAAGCTCTGGGAACAACAGTGAACAGACAGGCCCAAATCCCTGCCTCCACGGAGTTTATGGTCAGGTGGTTCCACCTGGTCTTCCTCATCCGGGGGGTGGGGGCAGGAATGGGGGGGGGCAGAAGGTTGATCTGGAGCATCTCTCAGGTACACACCTTATCTCAAGCAATCCTTCTAAAAACTACGGAGGGTGGGAATTGTTACTTCCTTTTACCAAAAAAAAAAGAGAGAGAGAGAGAAACTTCTAAATTACTAATTTAAAAGTCACTTTTACTCTATACATTTAAAAATGTCTTTAATAATTTCAATTTTTAAAAAGTAACCATGAGGGCGCCTGGGTGGCTCAGTTGGTTAAGCGACTGCCTTCGGCTCAGGTCATGATCCTGGAGTCCCAGGATCGAGCCCCACATCAGGCTCCCTGCTCAGCAGGGTGTCTGCTTCTCCCTCTGCCCTCTTCCCTCTCGTGCTCTCTGTCTCTCATTCTCTCTCTCACAAATAAAAAAAAAAAAAATTAATTTGACAATCCTAGTGATGATTAAAAGAAAGGAACCCAGGGGCGCCTGGGTGGCTCAGTTGCTTAAACGACTGCCTTCGGCTCAGGTCATGATCCTGGAGTCCCTGGATCGAGTCCCGCATCAGGCTCCCTGCTCAGCGGGGGGTCTGCTTCTCCCTCTGACCCTCCTCCCTCTCATGCTCTCTGTCTCTCATTCTCTCTCTCTCAAATAAATAAATAAAATCTTTAAAAAAAAAAAAAAGTAACCATGAGACATTTATTCCAAGCAAAGAGACGGAAGATCTGAAGTCACAGCAGAGAGGATCTGGAAAAGCCACCTAGTTTTTACCAACTTTATCTTCATGCCTTCATCACAGTTTTGTACTCGTCCTTTGTTTTGTTTTGCTTGCTTGTTTATTTGTCTGTCCACATTCTCTCTCGTCAGAGGCATCATTATAAGCATAGCACACTTTATGGTGAGAAACGCCCCGCGGGCAGTTTGCGCACTCGTGCCTTGACCACCAGTGGTGCCTGCACTGCCTCCTGAGACTAATGTGCCGCCTTGGTGCTGGAAGCACTTCAACTGACACTATACTTGCTGCTGTTCATGTAGCTGTGCTCTGAACCACTTTTTAAATTTTTCAGTTATTAGGGTATTCTCGTCTGGGCTGACTGTACATCTTAGCAGTAAATCGCTTCTTTTAAAATCTTCCATTCAGACCGATAGGATTTCATCCTTAGACTTAAATTGGCACTAAGAAACTCTAATTTGACTTCATTGTTTTTCTAATTGCATTGCCAACACAGACAGAAAATACCATGCTTTTCTTAGAATCTTGGATGCCAAAAAATAGAGCCGTGGCCCTTGGAAATTCCTTAAAAAAAACTTAAAAGAGTGTTAGGATTCCAATCATGAGAACATAAATGTTTTGATCCTCTCAAAACTTCCTAAAATTCTGTGCATCGGGAACCACAAAATATTTTATAATCATAACTCTTAAATAGAAAGTCTGTATTGTTCAATTTCTGAAGATGTTGACAGCTTAATAAAAAATATTTTCTGAGGTCCACAACTAATGGAATCCCTGAAGTGCTGATGGCTGGTAGTGGATTTTGTTATGTATTATCCCAGAGCTGGGAACTTTGAGATTCTTTTGGGATTCAGTTGATTTCGGGTATAAATTATAACGGTGGTTCCTTCATACCCTCAGTCTTGACAATTGTTCATTGTGCTATACATAAATTCTTTTATAGTGTTATAGTTTTTGCCCCTACTGAGTAGCTGTGTTTAGTGTTGGTGTTATTTACTGTGTTCATATGGATATTCAATTAGATATCGATATAACATACATATGTGTTGCTAAGTGTAGATACAGAAGAAATCATATGGTGTCTGGATAATTAAGTGACCATTACCTGATACTTACAATGTAAGAGTGCCCGGAAAAGTAACTGGGTTTGTATCGGGGTTGCTGTGCATCTCCAGGAAGAAGACGAGGGTTCGGAGGACGATGGCAACACGAAGCCGGACTTCACGGTCACTCTGAAGACCGATTTCAGTGCCCGCTGCTTCCTGGACCAATTTGAAGATGATGCTGATGGGTTTATTTCCCCAATGGATGATAAAATCCCGTCAAAATGCAGCCAGGACACTGGGCTCTCCAACCTCCACGCCGCTTCAATGTAGGTCATTTCGGCGGTGGTGGTGAAATGTTTTGGTGAAAATACCGTTCTTAAATATTTTAGCCTTGCTATTTAAATCAGTTGTCTGGCAGAACACAGGTGACTTAGCTGGGGGACATCCATGTGGATAGAACAGTGACTTTTTTTTGGCTTCTGGCTCCGTGTTTTATATTCTCCATCCCGTTACTGGAGGGAGCACGTGAGATCTCGCAGGAATAGCCAGGTCTCTACGATGGCACTGAGTGGTTCTCTACTCCACAGCACTTCATTTAACATGTACCAAGCTCCGATGTCCTCTTTCTTTCAAAGCAAAATACGATAAAGTGCCATGGGATTCCACAAGCCCTAAGGATTCATAAGTAGCAGGCGCTTTGCGGGAGCCCCGGGAGCTGTACCCGTCGTCGGGACGGTTGGCATTCAGAGGATGGAAAACCTCCATTTCTCCTGTCCCTCAGCTCCCTCAACAGCTCTTGCATTTACACGCTTCCCACTGTCTCCACAACCCCTGTCGAGTTGCACATTCATTGTATTTATAACAATTCGATTTAACCCAATTTTCTTAAAATATTTCTTCCCTTCTCAGACCAGAACTCTTGGAACACCTTCAGGAAATGAGAGAAGAAAAGAAAAGGATTCGAAAGAAACTGCGTGATTTTGAAGACAATTTTTTCAGACAAAATGGAAGGTAGCGCCTGTTTTCTTTGCCCTAACTCCTGCCCCTCCATACACACACACCTCTCGTTTTTTCCTATCAGATCTTTGCAGTGCCTCCCAAGTGGGAAGCCCTCTGCATCCTGCCTGTAGCCTAGTCCCTTGGAGGTTCACTGTGGGATGGGGAGGTTTCTGTGGTCCTTCAGCAAGAAATGCTCCTGGGATAGTCTCCAAGACTGATGTAAATTCAGCTAACGTTTATACAACTAACCTGTCACCTCAAATTGTAATCTCAAATGAGCAGCTTGAAGCTACGTTTCCAGCTGATAGCACTGCTTTTTGGTTTTGGTTTGGGGTGGGGGAGTTGTCTTAATAGGCTAGAAGGAGAAATAAAGAAAGGGCAACTTTAAATCTTGGTGTTTTCAGGCTTATTTTACTTTTTTTTTTTTTTTAAGATTTTATTTATTTATTTGAGACAGAGAGAATGAGATACAGAGAGCACGAGAGGGAGGAGGGCCAGAGGGAGAAGCAGACTCCCCGCCAAGCAGGGAGCCTGATGCGGGACTCGATCCCGGGACTCCAGGATCATGACCTGAGCTGAAGGCAGTCGCTCAACCAACTGAGCCACCCAGGCTCCCCTTTAGGCTTATTTTAAAAGCAAAGGTGATCGTTGTCAAGTTTGAATGAAAAATGTGCAAGAAGCAGTAAGTCCACAAGACTGACAGGGTGCCTTTCTCGAGTGAGTTTCAAGACAGGAGGTAGTCAACCTCGTAGAACATCATGCTAAGGAACAGCAAGCATCCTCTGTTTGCTGGTGACCGCACACAGTTCATACCAGTTTGCAGCGTGAGCCAAGGGCAGGACAGGGAAGAGATTTGCATCTCTTACGTTGGAGTTAAGTTTTAACACTTCAAAATAATTTTATTTCAATCCAAATTATTTAAATGGTGTAAATATAGTTTCTCTTTAAAAGATCCCCTTTTCATACTTCTCAAAAGTATTGGGAAATAAAAGCACCATAAACATTAACTTTGGCATTTAAAATGTGTTGTGTTCCAGTTTATTTCAGTTAGTATATAAATTTATTTTTTAGCATCCCTAATGTGGATCTGTCTTATAGTGACTTTCTTAAGATTTATGAATTTTTATACCTACATATTTGCTTTTCTTTCTCCATGCATTATAGGCTATTTAGAAAATATCAATAGGCAGACAAAAGAAATAATACTCAAAATAAGAATAATAACAAAGACAAACCAGGATTAATGTCTGTTCTAGTCCATTCTTCTTTCTAAGCATATTCTTGGTTTGTCTATCTTTTTTCTGTATAATTATAGTCACTTTATGCACAGATATCTTGTACATGAGGAACTATATAAAATGATGTAAACTTCACAAGTTTTAAGAAAGGATATCTGATGGGAATTTATAATCATCATGCAAGGTTGGGTTTTGGGGGGTTTTTTTTAAGTTTTTATTTATTTAAGTAATCTCTACACCCAACATGGGGCTCAAACTCATGACCCCGAGATCAAGAGTCACATGCTCTTCCGACTGAGTCAGCCAGGTGCCTCATGATACAAGTTTAAGACTCTGACTTCAGACATCATTAAATCTGGTGCCCTTATTTCGTATCTGAGGAGAGTGAAGTCCCTTGAAGAGCAGGGCGAGGGCAACTATCAGATTGCTCTTCCCTTCACTGCCCTGCACTGAGAAGCCATCTAGCACCCTTTACTTGAACAAGTCAGGGCATGAATAAAATCTGTTTTTTAGTTCATTGAACAAAATTAAATAAGCCCCATGCTATCTCCTTTCTTATATTTTCTCTTCAATAAGAAGAGGAAGCCTGGTATTTGCATGTTTGATATGCTCATTTCAAAGTGAAATGAGAAGCAGGACTGCACTGCACAGTGGTTGAGAATGTAGACAGTAACACCATTTCATCACGTCCTCGTGAGGGTTATACCAGGCCATGGGGACAGAGTACTTAGCACAGTGCTTGACCTGTAATAAGCCCTTGATTAATACTTGCACATATAAAAAGTATGCATATAAAATGACTCAGTAAGCTATAAAGGCTTATTAGTATTATGTGATCCAATTGCTGAATTCCAAGACTAATCTTATAGTAAGTAGGATATTAACTCTGTTTTTTTAAACCTATAAATTATGGGCATGCCAATTGCTAATTAGAAACTTAATGGTTCATTAGATGAAATATATAAAAGTGAAAAGCCATTAAGAGTAAATAAAGGATTTCAGTCTGTAGAGACTCTTAATGTGCATTCATACATACCAGCAGCAGAGAGAAAAAAACTTCTACAGTTTTTAGTCCTGCATACCATTCTACAGGATGCCAGATTAACTCTAAAAATTCAGTTGCGTGGTATCTTCTGGGGGAAGCGATCTTTCACTGCTTGTCTAAACCCAGCTTCAGTCTTGATACCAAGTGACACTTGGGAACACCAATTCTACAGGCTGATAAACTGCAGAGTTTCTACATGATAATTCACCTGATGAACAGTATCATCTAGGAGAGACAGCCAATGATCCTCAGTCCCCTTTCCCTTTGTTTCCATTAGAAATGTCCAGAAGGAAGACCGCACTCCCATGGCTGAAGAATACAATGAATATAAGCACATAAAGGCAAAACTAAGGCTCTTGGAGGTGCTCATCAGCAAGAGAGACACTGATTCCAAGTCCGTGTGAGGGGGGCAGCCCCAGCCCGAGCAGAGGGGGCTGCTGAAGGTGCAGGCTGAACTTATCAGCTGCCTCCCCTAGTAAAGAGCAGCTCTGCACAAACTGGAAGGCAGCATGGAGCTGGACCTGCAGAGCATGTAGCCCTTCTGCCTCCGGGCCTTTGGGATCCGCTCCAGTTTCCAGCGCCGGCCTCAGAAACTGCCTGGATGGAAGAGGGCAACCTGCTTTGATTTAAGAATTTTGTAAGGGGAAGTCAAGATCCCACAGGCGCACGTAGACACTAGGGGAAGCTTCACTAACGCTGGCGGTGATGAATCACTACACGGAGAGACCCTCATCTGCAGAGCATACACACTGTTCTTCCCTGGATGACTGAGAAACATGTCTAACTGGGATACGACCCAGCTCAGGACTTCCCTCTGGAGAGCGAACGTGCCACGCAGGCCCGAGTTCTCTTTGCACCCAGTAAAGCGGGAACGTGCGTCGGAGCCCTGTTTGCTGCCTTGGCCATTCTCATGACCTTTCCCCACTCGCGCGAACTGTCCCCTTTCAGTTCTCAGGTAGATGGAAGCTGCGTCTGCCCGGCACGGTGGCGCAATCACCTGTTTGATGGTGAGTTGCTTCCAGACTTCCTCGGCTGACGGAGAATTTCGATTCTTGACCAGGACTGGATCATCTGCAGAGGACAGAGGGACTATAGCTATAGTCATGCCGATTTTTAAATCAGGCAACAGGGTGAAGAGCCTGGAAAATTCCTTCCTGAACATGGATTGCACTTGATCGGTCTCAGATTTTCGCATCCAACACTAAGCAAGACCAGTATGCTATGGCATCCTGTTTGGGGCTTGGTTTCATTTTGGCTCTAGCCAAACATAAAGGATCTTGCTTAATTCTTAGCTTAAGTGTTGAGGATCATGAGAGAGAGAGAGCGAGCCTGTGTTCTAAGCCTTCTGAGTACTTACCAGAGTTTAAAGTTGGTTTTTTTTTTTAAGGTAAACCCGCACTAAATCCCCTCACTGAGAGGTAAATGTAGCCCTCGGAACTCAGTCCAAGGTGGTATCTAAATCACACTATTTTCAAGATCGTGTGTGAAGAGAAAAATAATGGTGTGGGGTCACTTAGGATTATTTTTTCAGAGACTGTGTCACAAAGCTGTCTATATTAGACCTTTTGGGAAGACCAGGGAATTTAAAACACCAAATCATTCATCTCTTTACTGTGCTGATGTCCCCTTGTGATTTGTTGTCACTTCTTCACCTCTGTGTCTACATCGAGGAAAGTGAATTCTGTCTCTGCCTGTCCGTCCAAGGCCTATGTTGGCACCTTGTGGGTGGAGCTTTGCGGGTTTGCGCTTTGTGGGATGCAGCTCAAGTGTCTGCACACCGGCCCCCGGCTGCCAAGAGAAAACATCTCGGCAGGCTCTGCCTTTTGAAGATACTGTTGCAGGATGAGCAAGAGAGCTAGGCTGCCCTCCCATAGGTTTTGAGAGTTGCCTTCTTAAAGGGTACCCTTTTGTTTGGTTTGATAAGAAGAGGAAAAGAAAGAGAACGTTAAACTCTACTGACCAGTTGCCAGTTTTGAAATGGGTTCTTGAGAAACTGGCCAGATTGGATTTCTAGCAGTGTTTTCCATGGCTCAAGTGAGGCAGAAGCTGTCAGTTGGAAATTGTTTTAAGTCGGGAGTCGGGGGAAAAGAATACCTTTAAGTTTGCTCTTAAAAATAATCATATAGAAGCATGAGCTGTGTGTTGGAAGTCCCCTGTGTTAATCCACACATTTAAAGACGGTACATAATCCTACAAATTTAAATGTACATGAATATATAGTTTGGTATTCTTTGCTCTACTGTTTACATTGCAGATCACTATAATTTCGAGGAGTTATATTATAAATAAAATGAAGCACTTTAGGATGTTTTCTATTTTTGAAATCTGAACATGAATCATTCACATGACCAAAAATTGTATTTTGTAAAAGAAATACATGTCTAGTCTGTCTTTTTTGAGTAATTATTCTCTTAAATAAGCTATAACATAAATCAAATCATTACCAGTGAACCTTTAAAGCACATCTGTTTAAGAGTATTGTCTTGAAAATACTAATATGCTACAGAATTTTAAAAGAAAAAATGCTGTATAAATGAGGAGCTACTAAATGTTTGAAATCTATTGTTTCTGCCAAAGGTAAATTAAGTAAAAGATTTATCCAGGACTCCCCATTCCAATTTGTATGATTGAATAAAAGAAAACACCAAGTTACAGTCAAATAAACTGCGTATGGAATGTCATGTTCTCCTTTGTAATTTCTCATCTATATTAACTTCACAGAATGGCGCCCAGATTAAGGGCGGAAAAGCCCAGTTTACACTCGATCCTCTTTGAAGCCATGGCGGTAGGTTCCGGCGCTGCCAGAAATGCTGAGGCCAATTTGTTTCCACAGCAACCATTTCTGCAGCCCAGGGTCTTGGGGCCCTAGAGGCGGCATCTTAATTGGCTTCACACAGCATACTCTGGACTGGGGTTTTTCCTTTGCTCTCTTGGGAATGTATGTGTGTTTATTAGCGCACGCCAACAAAATAAATGCCAGCGGTTAGTTAATAGCAATGATAAGTAAAGGTAAAGCATGAATAAACTTGATTGTATGACTGTAAGAATTAGAAATAGCAGAGGCTTGTAATTTTCACAGGCATTTGCTTTTTGTGTGTTCAGTCTGGAGTAAACATTGAAATAGATGTTTGTGTTCAGTCGGTATGGTATCATTACTGCATTTCATTTCTGAATCATTCAGTTTGAATTTTGCTTTTCAGACATGTATGTGCAAGGTTTAGGAGAAGGGCCTGCTTAGAAGTTTTTCGGACGGCTGATTTGTCTTGTACCTGTAGAAGCAAGCTCGCACCACCTCGGTGATCTCCCTGAATTCAGGGGAAATTTCCATGGAAGGCCAAACCAAATTTCAAACTGGAGAACTGATTTTTTTTTTTAATTGCTAGCTATAATGCATCGAGAGCTAAAAATTAGATTTCTTCCCTCTAGTTGCCGGTTTGAGGTCAAAAGCTAATTATTCATTGCCTAGGCGGGGATCGGCCACGTCTCTATTTGTAATGTTAGTGTAATTTTTGCTTCGTCTCCTTCTGATGCAATGCTTGCGTGGTGGCAGAAGAGGGCTGTTGCAGGGGGCGCCTGCTCCCAGGTGTGGCATTTCTAGCCCTGGACAAAGGTCGCAAGGCTGTGTTGAAATCATAAATATTGTACTGAGCTGTCCTGAGGCGAGCAGTCTTGGAGGCCCTAAGGGCTGAGCATTTGTGAATGTGGTTGAGCTTGGAATTCCTAATAAGGTGACTATTTAGGTTTATAAAATAGGGGCCGCCGTGGTACCGATTACGTTGGTTCTTTCTGGAACTTCCTCTTTCTCAGCAGACAGAACTGGGCCCAGTATACAGAAATGGTCAGATCTACAAGAAAAATCAGATTTCAGTTTGTTGATTAACCTTTTCAAAGAGATTAATCTGATAGTGAAGATGCCACTTTTCTTAATCTTACTACTTTTGATGGTATATTTACAGTCGAATGCATAAACTGTCAATAGCCTTATGAAACATTGGCTGTAGTCTAAATTCTGTCTTGCATTCAAGAAGGATCTTCCCGACACACTGCTTCCTGGAGGGTTTTTTTCACCCCTCGGTGGGGAGAGGTGGTTTCTGCACCAAGACCAACACCTCCTTTATGTTCTTTTCCTGTATCCACTTGGGTACATCAATAGGGAGAGACAAAACCGTACTCAAGTGTGAAGCTCGTATGTGTGGCGGAACTCACAATGTGCTTTCTTGCCTTTTATTCCCTTGCTTTTATTTTTTCTCCACTTGACCCTCAAAATGTACTGAAGAGTACATTTTGTCATAAGACTAGTCAAACATATTTTCAGATGTTTATTCAGATTGTGCCTCCTAACACTTCACATGGGCAGCGCGGCAAGCTCCCGATAAGAGTGACGTATGTGGCAGGCGCGGCGTGGTGGCGCTGGCCCATTGTGCCCCTGTGGGCATCTGCATTCCTCTCCTGTGATCCTTCATAATAGGAGTGTGGACATCAGCTGAGATCATTACAGATCGACACAAACGTGTATGTAAAATGAAATATGTACATCTCCAAGTTCCTATGGCTGAGACGTTGCAGTTTTGTCTCCAGGGACTCTCATTCTGCCTGGAATCCGCTCTGTTGTGCTCATGCGCGTGGCTCAAGAAATCGAGAAATTGGTGCGGCAGATCCGCTTCTCGGTCTGAAAGCACCCATACATACTGTCCTGAAAATCTCCAAGAGTAGATACAATTTCAGTTAACAATATGGGCCCAGAACAATGTTTACACGACATGTAAGCAGAACATATTTGAAATTACAGTTGTCCTTTTTTAAAATGTAAACTGAATGAAAAATGTTGTGTACATTTCTGTACATGACTGTATTTTGTATAAACGTAAATAAAATATTTTTAACTGTGAATGTTGGGAAATTTTTGACAGTCAGGAACGTATGACTGAGCTGCCTGTGGGGTCTGACCTCTCCTTTAGGTAAGGAATCACTGCTGTTCCCTGAGCTACCCAGCGGCCTCATGAGGATTAAGTTTTGTTATTCTGTCTCCAAAGAGGTGAAGTAAACTCATTACAAATTAGGCATTCCCATGGTTCTAGGTAGAAAAATGGGCTTATGCTCTAGGCATTATATAGCCTGCTTCTCCCTCCCCCACTCCTCCTGCTTGTGTTCCTGCTCTCGCTATCTCTCTCTCTGTCAAATAAATAAATAAAATCTTTAAAAATAATAATAATGAGGGGCACCTGGGTGGCTCAGTCGTTAAGCGTCTGCCTTCGGCTCAGGTCATGATCCCAGGATCCTGGGATCGAGTCCCGCATCGGGCTCCCTGCTTGGCGGGAAGCCTGCTTCTCCCTCTCCCACTCCCCCTGCTTGTGTTCCCTCTCTCGCTGTCTCTCTCAATGTCAAATAAATAAATAAAATCTTTTAAGAAAATGCAAAGTAATCCATACTGACAGAAAGTAGATGGATGGATTCGGGATGGAAGGATTAGAAAAAGGCACAAGGAGAGTGGATGCATACATTCACTATTTTAATGAGGTGATGGGTTCACGGATGTATACATGTGTGAAAACTAAGCACTTAAAAAAAATAAAATTAAAAGGATTCATAGAAGGGGCTGAAGGCAGAATACTCTGGACTGGGGCTGAAGGGGTGCAGAAACAAAGGCATTAAGCCAAAGGAAAAAAAAAACAACCTTGTTTATTTCCAAAGTGTCTGAGGTCATTATAGTAAATACATTAGCCACTTACGACTCTGAAGCTAGTAAGTCCAGCAGAAAACTATGACTCGGAAGAAAAGGCACATTTCAGTTTAAAGGGAGCATGTCTCCCTCTGCGGCTCCTGCCACAGGCCAGGCCCTGATGCTCGCAGGCTCCAGAGCAAGGTTAGCAGAAGCCCCTGCCCCAGCTTGCAGCTCAGAACACACCCCCGTGATGGTTGGGCAGGCAGGTACTCTTTAAACTGCACGTTATATAAGCACAAAGTGACAAAAGCGAACATTAAAAATATAAAACCTGAAATTAAAAAAAAAAAAAAAAGGCTTTGAGAAATCCTAGTGCTGATACCAGGATTCAAATGGAGATCTATCTTCTGGGGAACAAAGACCCAGTACTGCTAACGTTGATGCAATTTAATGCCATTTTGCCAAAACGGAGGCTCACCCTCAATAATTTAACTTTTGATGCACTGGGTCCAAAGTAGTAAAATGTAGGCAGAAGTGGCAGGCAGTATTTAGTGACTCACCGTTTTCTTAAGTCATATCCTGATGTTGTCCCTATTAAGGACCAGAAAGCAATGCTAGCCGAAAGTACAGCAGGTTCCACAGCCTGTTGGCAAAGCGCGGTGGTCTTCCAAAGCTCTCCCCGCCCCCCGCCCCCCGCCCCCAGAGCACATGTTCTCACTCCTCTCCTGTACAGTTTGCAGTCCTCGGACTACCTGAATGGGAATTTCAGAAGGGGGACCTACGTGCGGGGGAGAGAGGCAGTCCCTTTCAGTTCTTTCAATGGCCTCATTATTACCTCTTCTAGAAATAGATTCTGAATCACATAAGACAAAATATATCATAGTTATGCCTAAGCTGGCTCAGCTTATCAAGGCTCTCTCTATATACACAGAATTTCATATTCAGTAAAAGCCAAAAGTCCAAATTCCCAAATGCATTTTCAGAATCCTGGCTGGCTGGCAGGCAGACAAATGAGGTTTGGCAGGAACTGGGATTGTTGACAGCTTGGTTCTCACTTTTCCTGTCCATCAACAAGGCTTCTCCCACAGGGTGGCTCCATGTTGTGCAGCATCTGCTCAGGGAATGGGGCCCAGTGCAAACCTCACCAAGAACGGAGTCTCGAGACCCCTCGGACCTCCAGGTCTCAGCTGGGCCCATGAGTGCATAAAGTGTATGTTACTGTGCATTTTGAAACTCGTCTTTCAGATGTTTGGATTTTTCTTGACTGTCTCAGAAGCAATTCAAAGATGCTCAGAAATCCTTGTCATGTTTCCAGTTATACAGCTTTGAGTACTTCTTGGTAAGATATTTTGAGACCCTGTGATTTTTCTGTAATTGTTACTTTTAAAGAACTTAAAATTACTCGACCAGATTAGATGGAGGGGAGGGCAGGGAGGGAGAGTACGAAAGACGTACAGCTCTCCGGTGGAGGGAGCCGAGCTTCTCAAACTCGACCGTGCATGGGAATGTGCAGGGGTCTTGCGGTACAGTAGCCCTGGGGGGCAGGGGGCAGAAGGGGCACTGACATTCTGCATTTCTGACAGGCTTCCGGGGGCTGCCATGCTGCTGATCCAGAGGCCCCACTTTGAGTGGAGGGTGCCAACTGCATCCTGGGCATTTGTGGCAATGAGCACCCCCCAAAATCTTAGGTAAACGGAGCCTGGTACATTGGACAATAGCAGCAGAGGCGAAACACTGCTTGATGCTGAAGGCCTAGATGCAGACAGCTTAGCTGTACGATGTGGATACATCACTCACTCTCCCCGTCTCTGTTTCTTTATCTGAAAAATGGGAATAACCGTAGTAGTTTACTGGATTTTATGGCAATTTACTCGGATGAACATATAAAGTAAGCACACAATAAATCTTCACTGAAGATTGGTGGCGTGTTACTGAGACAAAGATTCTTTCTTTCTATGCTGAAGTCCAGCAAGACATTTTGAACCACTGCAAAAATATTTCCCCCACATCACCC